AGTTCTGATCAAGCAGACCAGTTTCTTCGCGATGAGAGCCTACGACGTACGTTGTGGTTGGTTTACATCCTTGACTGTCTCTTGACAAGCACCCCTGGCCGGTTTGCGGCTCTTGCGGTGCAAGACACGTCGGATGTATCGCTGCCTTGCTCCGATATCAACTTTGCCTTCGGCAACGCAGTCTACGTCAAGACCCTACCCCAGTATCTTGGCCACAGTGCTTTGTCCCCTAGCCACGGGTCTGGTGGTGAGATTGGCGAATTCGGATACATTGTCCTCGCCTCCACCATTTGGCGTGATGTAGTGGGTATGCTCACCGCAGGCACCGTCCAGACCTTCCGGGATGAAGATTGCAGCGATCTCTTCGCAAAGATTGAAGGTCTCCGGGCCTCATTGCCCATGCAGTTTGTCGACAAGCCTGGCCAAATCAATTTGCACATGACTATGGGCTCCGGGTATACTTTTGCCATGCTGCACTGCTTGCTGCATTGTGCGTCAGTTTTCGTTCATCGTCGACGTCTGCTGCAGGACGTCATATCGCCGGGCTTTAATTTGGACTCCTTCCGATTGAGTACCCGATGCCATGATGTCGTGGACCGGCTCTTCACTTCTTGCCATGGAACAATCTCGCTTCTCAACGCTGTCGAGGCTGGTTCTGAGAAGGATCATCCAACTTGTTTCCCCATTGTGATGCTGTTTTCTGCATTCACTGCCAGCGCAACTGTTGCCTACTTGTCTCTCAAGGGACTTACCCCTCCCAATGCCGTCGAAACAGCTGCCCACATTGTCAAGGATGGATTGAAGTTCATGCATGAAGGCACCGAAAGTTGGCCTCTCATGTCAAGCTGGCTTCGGCATCTTGCTGTCATGCAGCGGGTCCTCAACAATGACGCTGCGGCATCCAATAACAATATCCCCTCAACTCATAGGCACGGCTCTGGCTCGCATCAGTCTGCCTCTGGTGTTAAAGATGAGATTTCTTCCAACGCTGACACTAACCCTGATGCGATGGATTACGATCAGCAAACTGGAGGGTCTGGGGCTGGCCACCACAGCTCTGCTACGAGGTCAGTTTCGGAATCCGCTCGAGGTGACAGTGAACCACCTGCCGTCACTCTTCCTCGACGCGGCGTTACGACAATCAATGGGGGCTCGGGCGGTATTCAAACACCCTCCATTACTACATCGCCCCCTCCGGGCGCACCGCTGGCCACAATGCAATCTGGCGATGCGAAGCAGCGGAGTCCCGACTCGGCATCGAACGGAGTCTCTGCATCACAAGAGGGTCAGACCACGAGCCAAGACATGACAGCACCAGAGCTCTGCCAGGCATTCGAGAGGCAGCTTCTCGACCTAGATGACCTTGCCGCATTTATGGGTGGTGGCGTTTGACAGTCAGCCCAGGGGTTGGCGCCTTTCATGCTTGATGGCGCAGCACGCCGGCAGTGAGGCGTCTTTGACAACCCCGAAGCACACTGTTATTGTATGGCAACATGGGGCATGAAGTTGCTTATTGAAGGTATCTCTTAGGCGAATGAAGGGGGATGAGTAACGGAGGGCTCTTTTGTAGGATTATACGAGCAGGACGGATACCCGGTGATTCATTAGGTAGGGGGGGGCGGCGTTGCAGGGATTTGGAATGGTTATATGCACAGTCACAATAGGGGTCGTTAAAATGGATGCCGACGAGACGACATACGGGAATGCATGATGTCTTGACTTGGACTTATTTGTCAGGAGATTACTAGACGAATGTTAGTTTGTCAACCGTTTCTTAATACATTCGTTTACTCTTTTATCTGGGCCATGCTCTTGGAGCTTCGGGTCTTGCTGCATAGATGGAGTCGCTATTTTCATCCAATGTACCCGACCGGGATACGTACCTCTGGGTGTAGCGTGCTGCTGTCATTGTGATGTGTCGTGGCGGCGGATGGAAATGACTGGGAGGCGGATCGACGACGTTTTGCGCCAACAGCTAGCTGGGTATGGGAAGTAAAGAAGTCAAGGTAGGTTGGGCCCGTGTGTACGGAGTAGGAACTTGCATGATTGGGGGGTGGTTGGCTTTTTCTTTCTTTTCAATACTTATCCAATTTGATTTCGTGTGCTGTCGCCTTATCTCGTCGGCTACCTGCGGCGGCCGTGAGGAGATGGCGACGAGAATGAGCCGGAAGGCAGTGATCATCAAGTCGTGTCCCTGCGTCGGGCGCTAAGATTGGAAGTTGACAGCTTGTTGGTTAATGGAAGGGTCAATTAATGAAAAGGGTATTTTCATGCGCCCCTATGGTCTAGTCGGACCTGTCGGCCCGGGATCTCCTCTGTTGTACTAGTAGCAGTACGTACATATGTATGTAGTACATGCATACACCTAGTTCACCATTGATAGATCCATGTCCAGATCTTCTGCGTCACCCACTCCGAACGCGGGGGTTTGTGGCGCTCCGGATGGAGGGAATAGCGACTAGTAATACGGAGTACTACTACTCAGTGACGACGACCAGCTGACTCGAGCCTGCCAATAAGAAGGACCAGGCATGACGCTTCTCCGTACAAACAGACTGGAGTAGCCATGCTCCCCCCATGGGGGCCTCCCCTGGCCCCAGCATTGAGAAAAGGCCCAAGTTGATCCCGTAGCATCCCGTTCCCAATCCTACGCTGGAGCCAGAATTGGCAATTGTTGTAGATTGGCCATTTCTGCACAGACAGCCGTTCTCCCAAGCAATGCACTACTTAGGTACCTACCTAGGTACTTTAGGTAAAGTAGGCAAACTCGGTAACTGTGAGATGCTCAGCCTGGGTGGTTCACGTGTGCATGTTGCAGTCCCCATGTCGTCGGGTTTGCCATGCATGCCGCATCCAAGGCGGCACCCAAGATATTGATCATGTTAACGGACACAACCAAAATTGGCGCTCGCGCTCATGGCATCGGGGGTTCGAATTTCGGCCCATGTCCGTAGCCTAACTAGTCTCAAAGGGCGGATAATTGTCCGGATTGTCTCCACCAGATGCGCATAGGCCGGACAAGAAAAAGAAGAACTAGAAGAAGGAGAAGAAGGAGAAGAAGGAGAAGAAGAAGAGGCGTGTGCAGGTGGCGCATCACCATTTACTCTGGCTGGATAATCAAACAGGTTAGAGGAGGTGAGGCAGGAGACTAGCCGGCGCCATCCTCCTTGCGACGCCACGCAGGAGAAATTTCGCGGGCGGGAAATCAGCCGCAAGGCCCCGTCATTGCCGACCTTTGCTTTCATCTTGAGGATGAATTTGTCAATGGCATTCCGTAGCGCCGTGACTGACTGCATCAAACCGGATCAAACAGCAGGCTTTACCAGTACTAGCTGTGGCCCGTCGGCTATAAGGGCTGGCAATCTTGCGAGCCGCTGGAATCCATCTCATCATCCTCCCTCCGTACGGAGTACTCGGCCTCAAAACACAATTCGCAAAAGGCCAAGACATTGCTAATGGCAGGGGAGGCACCTGGTGGTGGATTCGGGCCGGCAGAGAATTGCCGAGATAGCCTGGGGCTAGGATTCCAAGACTTGATGAATCGACGCCTCACCGAGGGGGTCACAGCGGGCGTGTCGACGACATGGCTTCAATGTTCGGGGCTTGAAGCTTGAGACTTAGGCTTATTGGAGCGTGGGCCAGAACCACAAACTATGGAACTTTGGTCCATTGATCCATTGATCCATTGATGACCGTGTTGTCAGGGGCCGAATGGCTTTCTCGTGTTGTTGCGGGTAATCCATGCGTAGTCGGAGCTGCCTGCATCGTTCATCGGGATCCACAGACGGGGCCGAGCAAAGGAAAAGGACCAGCACGATGAGTTGTGGTTGATACTTCGTACACATGTATGTACAGTAAGTACATGCTCTGATGCCGGCCGCGCGACATCAAAGTCTATCGCCAAAAGGAGTTCCATGGTAGCATGGTATTCCTTGTTGCGTTGCGTCATGTGACTCTGTGCTTCTTACACCGCTAGGCCTCAAGGTTTGCATATTCGTCACTTCCAGTACAAACTTTAGAATAGACCACGGGCGAGACGTCCTACATGTGTCGTGCGGTGGAGACTGGAGAGCCAACTCATCAAGTGCCGCATTCCGGAACCGGGCCCTTGGACATGGCCTGTCGTCCATGGACCGTGGAAATAATCGTTGGCCGAGGAGGACCGGTCGCGATTCGGCCAGTTGTCAAGTCGCCAACATCAAACCGAGGGCTATGGACCTTGGCAACGAGGGGCAAGACTCAAGAGCTGCCATGGACACGGCCAGAGTGCAATTTGCAGTTGGAACAATGTCGTAACCGGCTGAACTGAATTCAACACGGCATTTGCACTTGCGAACCGGATTTGACCATGGTGATGCAGTTGGGCGTTTGGGGCGTCCCTTCTTCTGAAGCCTCTCGTCCTTGCTGGGCCCCTTCGGCCGTTCTCTCGAAACGCTGCAAGACCTTTACGATGGTATTAGTATTAGTCTTTTTGTGGCCCCCTCTGCTTACGGCCACTCTAGACCATGGAGCTCGATTGGCGAAAGGCCAGGCTTACCCCGGTTTTCCATGCCTTGTTGGGGGGAGAGATGCTTGGAGATGGAGGGTGGCGCTTGCGGAGCTGCGACGGAGTGTGGGCACTTGAAGATGTGGGCAGTCGAAAACACGTTGAAGCTGTGATACCCCAGTCAAATCACAAGACGGCAGAAGCAAGATCCCAAGTCATGCCAGTCGGCGTCGGAGACACTTGGGCCAGGCTAACTGGGAGCTGTTGTCCCTAGCCCGTCGCTCTTGTTGACGGCATAATGATGGTATATTAGCCGGCTCTCCCTGATGCTTGACGCGAGATCTGCAAGTGGCTTGTGCTGGCCATTTCGTCGTCGTCGTCTTCTTCTTTTTCTTCCTCCCAGTCGACCATTTCTTCTTCCTTCTTCCTCTCATCTTCCCCTTTTCCTATCGTTTACCACCAGAATCTGAGAACTTCAAATCTTCTCATCACATCAACCATCAATTGAGTCGCCATGGGACAACACGGTGGCGAGAGCGCCGAAAATGAAGGCGCGGCGCCTCACGAGGGCATGTCGGCCGGCAAGTATCTTGCGACGAGATTCTCAACCCTCAAACCACCCATGTTGCCCGTTCCCAACCCGTGGAAGTTGGTTCGCATGCTCGACGCGCAACAATGGGCATTCTTTGCCCTGGCCTTTTCTGCTTGGGTGAGAGCTGAAAATTTCCCATGCATGCCTTGGGCCAAGTTAGTGCTGACAAAAGTGGACAGACGTGGGATGCCTTTGACTTCTTTACGGTTTCCCTGACCGTCTCTGACCTGTCGAAAGAATTTGGCAAAACCGCCACAGACATCACATGGGGCATCACGCTGGTTCTCATGTTCCGATCTGTGGGATCCATCCTGTTTGGTATTGCCAGCGATCGATACGGCCGTCGGTGGCCATTCATTGTGAACAACTTACTCTTTATTGTTCTTGAGCTGGTACGATGAACCCCCTTCACCCTTTGCCATTTTTGCGTGCGGTGGCCATGTTTGCAGGAGATTAGGACGGCTCATCGATGAGAATCGAAAGAGAAGGAAAAAATCCCTCTTGCCACACACCATGGTGCATCGAGACCACTGAGACAATGCAAACTGTCAAACCCACACTTGACGGCGTTGAACACGTTGTGCTCGTTGCAGATCGTTGCATTGGTCCCCATCTTGGTAGGGCTTGCCAAGACTGAGATGAGATGAGATGAGAAGATGGAGCGAGGAGGCGCTGTTGGGCGCGCGGCGCGGGGAGCCACCCGACTTGGCCACCTTGGCGCTCGCAGCCATGTTCCAGATGGCTTGGGCCTCGTCTCTGGGGTAGGCGCAAGTGCGCAAACGCGGGAGGAAAACGGAAAGAGGGAAAGAAAAGAGAGAAGAGAGAGACATCATCTGTGATGATAGAAACAGATGATCGAAACCCCATGCGTGACTATTTCGCTAACGTATCTTTCTTAGGGCACTGGTTTCTGCCAGACATACTCCCAGTTCCTCGCATGCCGCGCCCTGTTTGGCATTGCCATGGGCGGCCTTTACGGAAACGCTGCCGCGACGGCCCTCGAAGACCTCCCTGAAGAGGCGCGCGGTCTCATGAGCGGTATCCTGCAGCAAGGCGTACGTATCATTGCCCATGGTGCTTGTGGTGTTTTTTATCCGCTCCCCCTCCCCCGTCCCCAGTGCCCCTTCCTAAAAGATCAATGGATTCCTTCCCCCCCCGGCAATAGTGGGGGGAAGTCGAGTATTCAGACCCCTGCGGCGCTGCTCACTCAACTCCACCACCGGGTGGTCGAATACTTATTATCAAAACCACAAACCGTGCATACAATCGTTCAGTTTCTTGGGCTGACATTCTCTTCGCCTTCATACTATAGTATGCCTTTGGCTACCTCCTCTGCGCCGCCTTTGCCCGCGGCCTCGTCGACACCACGTCTCATACCTGGCGCCCTCTGTACTGGTTCGCCGCCTGCCCCCCCGTCATCTTCATTGCCATCCGCTTCATGCTGCCCGAGACCAAGGTGTTCCAGGAGCGCGAACGCATGCGCAACGAGGCCGGGCACGTCGGCAAGTCGGCCGGCGCCGTCTTCATCAGCGAGGGCAAGGTGGCCCTGCGGCGGCACTGGCTGCTGCTCACCTACCTCGTGCTGCTCATGGCCGGCTTCAACTTCATGAGCCACGGCTCGCAGGATCTGTACCCGACCATGCTCGAGAACCAGCTCGGCTTCAGCAAGACGGCCGTGACGGTGACGCAGGTCGTCGCCAACTTGGGCGCCATGACGGGCGGCACCGTCGTCGGCTTCTGCAGCCAGTCGGTCGGCCGCCGCTTCAGCATCGTGCTCTGCTGCATCGTTGGCGGCGCCCTGCTGTACCCCTACGGCTTCGTCGGCGACAAGTCCATCATGGCCGCCGCCTTCTTCCAGCAGTTCTGCGTCCAGGGCGCCTGGGGCGTCATCCCCATCCACCTCATGGAGCTGTCGCCCGGCGCCTTTCGCACCTTTGTCGTCGGCACCGCCTACCAGCTCGGCAACCTCGTCTCGTCTGCCTCGTCCACCATCGAGGCCCGTCTCGGGGAGCGCTTCCCGCTGCCGCCCTCGGAAAAGGGCGTCAAGCGCTACGAGTACGGCAAGGTCATTTGCATCTTCATGGGCTGCGTCTACGCATACACCCTGCTGCTCACCTTTCTCGGACCCGAGCATCTGCGCCGCAAATTCGACGTCAGCCACGACCGGGATGCCAAGGAGGCCGTTGGAGTTGAGACTGTTGGCCGTGCCGGCGTTTTACATGAGAATAGTGGTGGCAAGGCCCGTGACATTGAAGATGATGAGGAGAAGAGGGTTTCTGTTCATCACAATTAGGGCTTCGTCTCTATTTTTTCTTGTTCTTTCGATACGGCCTGCGTTTACCGACCTAATGAAGCTTTGTGTGCCATGACCATGCCTTTTGTGAGATGTGACTTGTGCATGGATGGGTGTTCAAATATACCCCAACAGACAAATTGGGAAACCAGACGGTGCACGTGGCGATGAATGCTACGCCATGGTGAAATACTCATGCAACCTGTTTAAATGCTTACAGCGCGGCTCTTAACAATTATTCTAAGTTATGTAATTGCAGCGCTATTTATCGCTTAGACCTTTCCGCGTACGACAAAAGATGACTACTGACAGGGGTGTCGGTGACAGTCACAAAGAGACGAGTGCATCGTATACTAGTTTCGTTGGGGCCAAGTGCATAAATCGTGTTGTCCTCTTTCCATCCTGTCCATGGTATCTACCAGAGAGAACAATAAAAAGCCGTAAAATCATATTACAAAATTCCCGTCAATCTCGCCTGAAAAAAAATGAAAAATTCATCATATGCCCCCGCTTAATCAGAGTCGTCACCAAGGCCACGGCTGCCGTGCTTCTTCTTCTTCTTCTTGTCGAAGGCGTTTTCCAGGACATTCGCGCCGATGGCGCCGGCAATGGCGGCACCGGCAGTGCCCAGGAATCCGCCGCCGGCCTTGTGGGCAGCCCAGGCGGCGCCGCCGCCTCCAACGAGGGTGGCGCCGAGACCGCGCTCACCATCGGGACCTACAGCGCCCTCGGGGCCGCCGGGGCCGCCAGGGCCAGTGGGACCAGTGGCATACTGGCCCTGCGGAGCGCCTGCAGCGTAGTCGGCGGCGGCACCGCCAGACTGGCCGTATTGTTGGGACGGCTGGGGCGAGTGGCCGCGGTTGCCGTACTGGTTGTTGTAGCCCTGCTGGGGTTGGCCTTGGCCGTAAGATGGCTGTTGTTGGTTGTACTGGTTTTGGTAGCCCGACTGCTGGCTGTACTGCTGCTATGAGAGATTTGTTAGAGTCCGTTGATGTGACTGTTGGAACGGCGCAGGTTTGGCGTTGCCTTTCTTTCTTACCTGCTGGGGATAGCTGCCCTGCTGGCCGTAGCCCTGTTGCTGGCCGTAGCCTTCCTGGCCACCATATCCGGACTGCTGGCCGTAGGTGGGCTGCTGGGGATAGCCGCCGCCGCCGCCGCCGCTGTAGTAACCCTGGTTGGACATTGTGGCTGTATGGGTGGTAAGGGACGTTTGTGGTGGTATGGACGTTGTCGAGATGGATGAATGTTTGATGGGAAGAGGCAAGAGGAATGCGTGAGTGAGATGGGGAGAGGAAATGGAAGGAGCGCCCCCGGAGGACAAGGCCAACTTAAATATCATCTGACAGAAAGCCGAAAGCCGTGAACAAAGCACGCACTCAAGCGATGGACGAAGTGGGGGAGCGTAAGCCAAGCACTGGCTGGCCGGGGTCCTACGCAGCTGCGGCCACTGCCTTGCTCATCGGCCTCGCGTCAACCTATGACGGCAGCACGTTAGCCATCAATGATGGTAGCGTAGGGCTGTGTTCGCCGGGTCTGGGGCACCAGAAGACGTCTTGGACAAAGTGCGCCTTGCTGGTGGCCCGGTGAAACGCAGCACTTGAGCGTCGATGGTGGCGCAGCAAGGGACCACCGGACAGGACTTGCATCTTGCCTGCGCGCGACTGCGCCGCCTTTGAGAGGGGGTCGTCATTGGGGGACCTGGAGGGACATGTCGGGAGGGCCGTTTCGGGCTGCACATGTGCGGATAGAATGCGACAGAGCTTTCTAGACTTGTTGACGGGGGGCCGCATCAAAGGCGGGATAAAAATGGCTGTGGCTATTCGATGGCGAGGCACAGCACAGCACGGCAGACTGCACACACATGTGTCTGGTGGTCTGGTGCTGCATGTCCAGTCAAGTGTGACTAGCCAGGCATTTGATTGAAGTGGGCCGCCGACGCATTATTCATTGACCCAATTGATCACAGTCAAAGTGGCTGGTGTACTGACTGGCATGGCACACTGGACAGGCGCCAGGCCCAGACTCTCTGCGCATGTTAATTCAATGTTGTTGGTACTACTGTTATTGTGCCCGATGCAGCAGCGCACAGCTCCAGGCCTGGCCTGTAATCATCGCCGAGCCACTGAAGCGTCTGTCGTGACGCACCTCCAAATGTGTGGTCCGTCCCCTTTATGTACATTAATGCCACTTTACTCCGGCATTCCCGGCAATCAAGTTCCATACACGAGCCTTGGGAGTGGTACTTGCTACACGACGGGTGACTTTGCGTGCTTGGCATCGCAAGAACAAGCCGAGGTATACTAGCGCAAAGAAACAAGAGATAAAGGGGGGGATCATAGTTTTAAATTTACAATGGTATTATCTTATTTATAGGTAATATATTAATATACTTATTAAATAATAATTTACAAATATACTACTTTATTAAGAAACTTAAAAGTGTAAAATATAAGCCGTGTGTCCTGGAAGGAACATCAAGTATTGAAAGGAAACCTCAACGCCAAGACGCCAGGCAATAAAAACATACCCTAGTGCACGCCGCCCCGCCGTGCCCAAGTACCACAAAGTACATTACGGTACCTCGGCCCATTTTGGGACCAAAAGGCTCTCGACGGAAACCACATCGTCCACATTCACCTTGACCAAAGCCCAAAAAGGCTCCCAATATGGCGCTCGCGTTGGAGCTCAATAGCGGTGTGTCTGCTGCATTTCGTCGCGGACGCCTACGGCTTTCTCTCTCTTCTCTCGCCTATCTGATACATCGCTACATCATGCCTCCTCGTCACGGTCTCTCTCCCGCATGGCACGACGTCGGCAGTCTCTCGTTGATGTGGACAATTCAGATGACCCATACATGTCTGAGGATATTTACAAAGCCTTCGAGTCGGATGAGCCTAGAGGCGACTCAGACACCGACGTCTCCAGCGTTGAGGATGTTGATCTTGACTGTGACCTCGACGGCGACCTTGGCACCGATATTGATGTCGAGGACCAGATCCAGCTCTCCGGTGGGATTGTCCATCCCCCAGAATATTACCAGCGCGGGTTGGAGGAGTTCATCGAAGGCAAGTTTGACTCTGAAGATTACAAAGAGGGAACAGAAGTGCCCCTCAACGCCCTAGAGGAGCAGTGGCATGTGTATGAGACCTGCGATCCTTTCTTTGCTCATCCTGTTGATTGGTGGTCGCCTCTTGCAGGTTCTATGCCATCGTCAAGCGCACCCAAGAAAGTTCGGAGGCTCGTCGAAGGAGTTGGACCAGGGATCATTCTATCCCGGAAAATCTGGTCGGTCAGCCTGTGTGACGAAGTCTCCTTGTCCAATATCCTAACCGCTCCGTGGGAAATGGAGCTACCTGTCGGTGGGAGTTTTGGAAGACGTTATTGAGTTACTCAAAACAGACCAGCGTGCGATCGATGTGCTGCATGCAATGCGGCGGCAAGTGAAGCTACTGGTCGTGTCCGGCTTACTCGATGCCCTGATGTCATGCCGCGTGCTGGATGCGAAAGCAGCAGCGGACTTGCAGAGCGAGCATGGCCTTCAACAGGTAAGATGTGCTGACTTGCCCAGGAGCCACTATCTCGCTGTTGCTTGACAAAATCAGTCAAGGAGCTTGCTGCGGTGTTCTGTGAGGTTCTCAGCAAAACCAAGGTTGAAGAGGAAGACACTATTAGCCTCGGGAGGAAGCGCCTGCCCCACAAGTCCATTCGCAACTTCAAGTCAGATGCCTGGTACAACTGTGACGCTATCAAATTCGCAATCGAGGCAGGTGACAGGCTTCCCTTGGTCAGACTTGGACCCTGTATGTCCACTCATACCGAGACCGGGGCACCAATTGCGAGACCCTTCCGTTGTTGGAAGAAAAATATCGACCGATTACGACAGCAATCACCGACGCCCTTGGTCTATATCTGTGCCCTACACATCAACACCAACCACTTGAGATAAACGAAAGAAAGAGAATGATTTGCTACTACGACTCCACGAGCATTTCTCAACTTTCGATTAGGTCGTGTCCCAATATACGGCAAGAGGTCGATAAAGAGTTCGGCCACTTGCGTTCATGGAAGTGGCGAGTTCAACGCTCCAGCTAGTTTTATAGAGCTCACTGACTCTTTCAGTAAACCTCCACAGGTATAAGACCAGGGCCCTGACTGATCTACATACCCTAGCTATGTACCCGTCGGCCACACAGGAAAGCACACCGGAACGTAGAGATCAGGCCCCTATTTCTCTATCATGCTCTCCCGGTCAGGGCCAGTACCAATCCATTTTACCTGTTTAATGTTAATATATCAAAATGTTAAAATCAACCTTCTAAATTGTAATTTTACCTTGACTCCAACAAAGCTTTCAATGAACTAGCAACAACAGTTAATGACACTGCCCCCTAGCAATGATATGGTTCTTACCTCGACATAGTCCTGCGCCTGCTTGGGAAGATCATCAAAGGTCTTCACGTTTGTGGTCGGTCTCTTCCATCCCGGCATCTCATGATAAACCACATGAGCTCGATCGAGAATATCGGGATCCGTAGGGTACGAAGCCAACTCCTGCAAGATTAGTTAGTATCTGCTGGCAACTCTATAGGAGACATCTGTAAACGAACTTCACCGGATTCGGGGTCCTTATACGCCACAGCGACCTTAATCGTCTCGAATGTATCCAGCACGTCCAGCTTTAGAGGTGAAGCGAGTCAGCCGCTGTTCGACCAAAAGGGCGAACATAAACAGAGATATTCAATCACCTTAGTTAGGTTAAGTGCTGTATAGTAATTGATAGCTGTGCTATATCGAAGGACCACAAGATCTGCAAAATCTATGTTAATAATACCGGGAAGAATATATTAGACTGGGGCAAGCGATTTCATGTACCGAGCCTATCTGAATTAGCCAAGACTTTCTCGTCACAAGTCTCGAATATCTGAGAAACTTACCAACCACAACGACGCCGTCGACCAGTGGACGTCCCCTTGACACAATTAGCACTATTAAAATAAGTTCGGGAAAAAATAAGTACCCATTCTTTGCCGAGTTCCTGGAGTTTTGTGCCATCTCTGCCGCATATGATTAGCAACTAAACACATTTTGTAGGCTGAATGACTAACTCTCCAAGATCTTCCGTTTTGAAACTGCCCATCCCAACTCGTGTCGTATCTGTTTCTTATTAGTATATACAAGCAAATATATGGGTAAAAAAGCCACTAGCGGCCAAAACTCCTTGGAAAGATGTTGTTTTCAGCCGGGTGAAAATGGATGGAGCGTACAGGATTTGATCACCCCGACCACTTCTGTGAGGCCACGTGGATTAAGGTGCAACCCGCCAATAATGCCTGCCACGGTTGTGGTAGAACTTGTCACGTATCTTGTTCACTGTTAATGCCTGACATCTGGTTGATAGAGCTTTAGAATACATACGGATATGATCCAACGTCGAGATCTAGCATCAAGGCCTTTGTCTAGGCAGACCGAGCAATGGGCCTGCGCAGGCACATTTGCTCAGGCCACCAAATAGATCAGCGCGGTACTTCTATAAAGAAGAGAGCTCTTACATTGGCACCCTCCACAAGAATGTTCATGTTCTTCTCTTGCGCAGACCGCATGAAGGACACGGCATCGACGACGAATCCGGCAAGCTTCGGACGGTATTCTCTAAAACGGGCGATTTCGTCCTCAACGTCATACCTGGTTTGATGATGGTGTCAGAATGGGCAGCATACTCCGCAATGAGCTGACTCTTACCTCAGCAAGTCCCCGTATCTCTTGGCGAAGCCTGATGCAAGTCGCCGAAGTTTTGACTCAAACAGCTCGGCTTTGAAAACCTCTGCTAATCGGATTCCAGTTCGCTGTTGAGCAGATTTTAGTGTTGTTTTATCGTCGCTTTGGTGTAGTCCTTACTGCAGCCTTTGTACTGTAACATGGGCCAATTCCACGGCCTGTGGTTCCAATTTTTTGCTCTAGAATGCGACATCAGAAGCTGCTGGGGGGTGTTTCGCGTACTAAGTAGACTGACTACTCACCTCCAAGCTCAGCCTCTTCAAGGCCATCGACAGCAATGTGAAGGTCCAAGTTAATATGAACCCGGTCCGAGACGAGGATACGATCGTAAACTCGGGGGAGGCCTTTCTCATCAAGTTCTTTGAGCTCGCTGAAGAATGATGGGCTAAAGGAAGTCAATTTGCCAATTGATAGAACTAGACCTCCTCCCCGGGGGCCCGCGGCGACTTACACATGGAAAACAACACCTGAACCAATCAAGTTCAAGCTAAGATGAGTATCAGTCCTGCAACACCAAAGCAGTGAATCGAATGAGTTACCAATTCGGGTTGATGAGACCAGAAGGAAGAAGGTGGAAACTAGGTGAGTAAGTATTCTCCATCACCTCTGACGGTGCCATGTGACTGCATACCTGTACGACACACCCCCGGTACTATTCCAGAATCAGCAAGACCACTCCAATACCCCTACACAGATCCGTCTCGGCTCACACAATTTGATGCCCTGCGTTATGACCGCCCTACATCTCTATCTCAGTATACATTTCCTATGCGGATCGGATCGTCCTCACGGCGGCTCGCGCACAGAGTTGCGCGTTGGTGGCAAGGATGTCGGTCAGCTTTCCTTTCTGTCGGCCACGCTCGTCAGAAGAGGTTCAATATCGCGTGTGAAGGCAGACAAACCCCTTCATCTCCTAGAAAAGCAGGCTCGCGTTAGCAGATCTCCATGCCTGGTGCTAAGCGATGACAGGGCTGTAAGTACCCCATTGGGAGCCTAGGATCGCAGTGATCGGCATGTTTCAAAATGTGAGACAGTGTCGAAGCAGAGAACAGCACAGTTAGATAGTTGCGATCAGCGAAGACGGAGCTCTTGGATGACGAGGAAAATAATATAATTTTGTGCGCGGGGCGGACTAATGTACAATGCGGCGGTAACTTGCAGTGGTGGGGTTACCAATTGGTACGGAGTAGTGCTCCCAACAACGGATACCTCGCCATCGACTCTAATCGGACCACGCCCCACTATATTTCCCGTTCGTGAACTCACTCAGATCTTACGTATAAAAATGAATATAATTACTTAATATAAAGTATAAAGTATAATAAAAGTATATTTATAACTCTTAAGTTATATTAAGTAAAAATAGGTTTAAAGATAAGGTAAAAAAAATAGCTCTTTAACCCTCATACATATTGCGAGAGTTATTAAAGTTATATACGTAATATAATAAATAGATCTATCTATTAGCGCTAATCCTGAATAAGCGTGCCGCTAACCCGGCGGAGGAAGCACCGCGTCCGCTATTACTATTATTATTGTGCCCGCTGCTGCAGCACACAGCTCCAAGCCTGGCCTGCAATCATCGCCGAAACACTGAAGCGTCTGTCGTGATGCACCCCCAAATGTGTGGTCCGTCCCCTTTGTGTAAGTGTGCACATGCGACTTCACCCCGGCATTCCCGGCGAACAAGTTCCATGCATGTAATATGAGCCTTGGGGAGTGGTAGTACTGGCCATACGATCAGGGTGACTTTACGTGCTTGGCATTGCAAGAATAAGCCGAGGCACACTAGCACAACTTGAAAGAAACAAGAGACAAAGCGGGGGAAAACAGCAGTTCCAGATCTGCAGCTGTGTTGTTCTCTCTGCAAGCAGTACACTGGCACACTCGTCAGATGACGATTCGCAAACAGGACAGAGAGACTCGAGATTACAAGATACAGGCCGTGCATGAAAACCCGTGCGTCGTGCTGGGAGGAACATTAAAAGGAAACAAACCTCGACGCCAAGACGCCAAGCATATCCGCCCAGCCGTCCACTCCAAGGAACCGCGGAGTAGAATTGGCGCCTGGCGCCCCTCCCTTTCATGATGCAGGCCACCATCACATCATCTCCGGCTTGTTTCCAAAGCCTCACAGCCATTTCCAGGCACCGTGCATGATAAAGCACAGGACAGGGCACGTACCATCATCACTCCATTGCCGGCCAGAAAGCCTTCTCGGCCGCCAGCAGCTCTCGCCACTTGGCCAACGACCGCTCAACAAGCTCATTTCTAACCTCGTCTCCCGCGCCTCTGGTGCACTCCACAACGGCATCGTCCACGATCTTGCCAAGCTGGTCGACAAAGGCAGCAAACTCGGTGCCAGTCCAGTTTGGAATAAACTCGGTGCGCAAGGCCCCGCCATCGGCATCTCCGCCCTCCAGCTCACCCAGCTCGCGCTGGCGGTTCCTGGCCCACGTCCACGCCTCCAGATAGCACTTCTCCGTCCCGTAGAAGACGACGGCGCACTCTAGCCACGGCAGGGTGGCGCTGGCGCTGGGGCCAAGCCCGCCAAAGAGAGCTTCGAAGCGCCGCAGGCCTTCCAGCTTGGCGCTGTCGGGGACGTGGCCGTCCTCGTCGGCGGGCAGGTTGACACTGATGCCGAACTTGCGTGCCGTGTCGACAAAGAACTTTTCTTCACGGCGGATGTTGGTCGCGGCGTCGATGAGCCAGTCTAGGAGACGGGTGGTAGCTGTTTCTCTGCTGCCTTGTGACGGCGGCGGCACCGTTTCCGGGAGGGGCAGGAAGCTTAGCGTCTTGCCGATTCCTCGGATGTATCCCAAGATGTAGAGGCGGTCGTTGGCGAGCCATTGCCCCAGAGTGTCTTTGGGGACCTTGCCCTCGGCTGCTCGCTGGAGAAAGGTCGACTGGGTAGCCTGCCGGAAGCCAGCGGCGTCGGATGAAAGGAGGGTTTTGGTAAGTGAGAAGCGTTGGGAGTCTGCCATGGTGCCGTTGTTTGGCCGTCTTCTTGTCCACGAGACTAGTTGACCTGGAGGTCGTGTTGGTAAGCACCAAGACCAAGAGCTTGTTTGTTTGGCTATTTTGGGCCGATAGATTCCCCGCACGTACAAGTAGCCGGGGATCAACTGCTTAGCCTTAGTCTATTAGATCGTACTTAAGGGAGATAGTCGCCCTCGGCGAATGAAATAGACAACCAGTGTGCGGCAGCTTGGAAGTGGCAGCAGTTTCCAGACAGAGTTCAAACGCTGCGTCCCGCGTTCAGATGAGGGCACCTCATGACGTCACCGACCCTTTGCTGTATTCTGCTTCAGGGTAACTGGTCTCGCAAGACCGTTCACCAGACACGGATACAGAAAGTGTGAGCATCTCAGCAGTCGACCATCTAGTTTGTATTGCAATCATCAATCGATGGGGATAAGTAATTAGTAAAACAATAAAAATGAAACAGACCCAACCTCACATTCCAAAAGGCATGAGCCTTGACATTCAGGATTCATAAGTCAAAAAATCTCATTACGCTGGTTTATAGGTTAAAATGCCAAATTCCACCTTGGTACTGGGCACCTGTAACTAACAATGCCGTGTCATATCATATACAAAAAGCCCACGTGCAGAAATTTTATTCCTCGAAAGGCCCGGCGTATAACAAGTCGTCCTTGCCGCCGTTCATGTGATCCCAAAGAGAACGAACCTCCTCGTGAAGACTTCGTGTATGCAATGTCTTGTTCAAGCCAGCCAGCTCCGCGTTAGCAGTCTCCCTTTCTAATTGCACTGTCACCCCGATGAGTTAGTAATTTTCCTTCCTTCCGAATTTCTGCAGAGGAGGGAGGGCATGCTCACCATGTAAAAAGACGGCGGTCCGCTTCCCGCTGTACAACGCATGCGGTACATTGGTCGAATTGTCTGAGTTGCAGTCGCCAATGGCGTAGATTCCAGGAACGTTGGTGACAAGACCCTTTGTAGGGTCGACGCCTAGCTTCTCGCCGTACAATACAACGCCGGCTTCCTCTCCGACGTTTGAGTATTGCTTGTGCTTGAAGCTGGTTAGGAAGGCGGCCCGGGTGACGGAGTCCCCGTCGGTGAAGTGGACACGGAACAGATCGTACTCCGGGTACGAAGGCAGGCTGGGGTCGGCATTGGGGTTGGAGCCATTCTTCAGGCGCTCTATTGAGGCAATAGTGCGGTTCTCAACCGTCACATTGTGTAGATTCAGGTAATCCTGCCAGCGAGGATTGTCCTTTTCGGTGGCTTCACGGTTGGAAGGGGTGTCGGTGCCATTGACAAAGGCAATGATGTCCCTATTGAGAGTGAGGATTTCGCGAACCGTACCCGGGACACTTGTCAGGGGACCGAGCAGACCGATGGACTGGTCCGCATGCTCGTGGCCGTCGCACCAGGGGCACCAGTAGATTCCTTTGCCCCAGTTCTCGATGAGACCGGGAGTGTCGGGGAGGAGGTCCTTGAGCCCAGTGCCGAGGACGACCTTGCGGGCCGTCAGAGTCTTCTCCTCGTTGTCCTGGTAAGTACCGGTTACGGTAAAGTAGGTGTTGTTCTCCTGGGCGGTGATGTTGGTCACGGTTCCGTTGGTCATGGAAACAGTGTCATAATGGGAGATTTGCTCTCGGGCTGCCCAGCGATAGTATGCAGGTCGAACACCTGTTGAACCCCTCTTAGTTAGCAAAGCCGTCATCTGAAGCGGCGGAAATACTTGATGGTGTGTAGCCGTACCGTCAAAACCCAAAACATCGTGCATGTGTCTTGTAGGGCCGTTTCTGTATACGCCCGAGTCTACCAGCAGGACATTGCGACGAACACGTGCCAAGGCACTCAGAGCAGCCAGCCCAGACGGACCGCCTCCCACAATGATTGCATCATAGTCAATCTTGGGCTTGGTATCAGTCACGGGTGCTGCCGAGGCCAGCCATGGCAGCACGGACAAGACGGTAACAGCACCGAACCACATGGTGCAGAGGTATCGACACGAAGTCTCACGGCAAAGGTCAAGGTGCTGAATTTGCTTTTGATGGTGACGGCAAAAATTCAGTTAGGAGACAGGGCCAGACGGCTCACCAGAGGGCAGGCCCCGGATACTTATGGCTGGACTAGACATGAGCGAGGAGGACAAACCATCCGAGACACTCACAACATTGGCCGAGTGAGCAATCTCGGCACATAATGGCATCAGACAGTCCATGTCTCCCGGCCCCACTGGTGTGTTCAGACATCGATTGATGTTGCCGGCGCCCATCCGGACATCTCCACCCGTCACCGGTAACTTCTGGGATATAATCTGTAAGAAGGAGAAACCTGGGCAAGATATTTGCATGGGAGCTAACCGATTAAGCATCTTCAGTGACCAAGTAGGAAACCAAGGCCCTACAGCCCGCTGAAAACAAGGATTTACCCTTGTAAAACGCGGGACAGCGTACGGTGACGCCAAGATGCCTGTGTTGGAAGATCCTTGGTATATCGCTCAGGCCGATGCTACGTTAGGCCACTCGGGCGCAGGAAGATGTTCACCTTACGTCTTCGAAATGCTTCCTCGCTTCGGGCCCCGCCCCATACGGCCGGTTTTTACGAAAAGAGCGTCGGGTCATAGATTCGCGGCTTGTGCTGTTTGTGAAATTGTGAGTCGCTGATTTGCGACCTCTTCCGATTATGCTGTGTTCCGGGACGCCCTATGGCTACTCCGTATGTATTACAGAGTTGACCCATTTTTTGTGCTTTTTGTGCTTTTTGCTTTTTCCCTCCTCTTTCGGTAAATCCATTGTGGACCTGGGTGCTCGGGAATCTTTGGTTGTATTGATGCATTGACGGTTTAGCTTGCAAGTGAGACCATGTTGGAATGAAGGGCGAGTTTTGTTGGCATTGGGTCTTTGCTCGATGGAAAGAACAACCCGATAAACACGCAACTGCACTATGCCCTCTTTAGGAAACAGGATCCACTACTATCAATCCGGCTGAGCAGCATTGAGATTGTAAGAGAGAATGACCCCATTTTATAATTGATGTCTATAGTTTATCTGACAGGTCTGAGGCGGGAAATACCGCTCAACAAGAGCGGTGCAAGGTTAAATTAGTTCAATGTAGGTATGCATATGCATATATTAGGTGCAGCTGCATGCTAGTCATTACTTCTGCTCACCTGGCTGTGTGACCGGGTTCGTTGATCAACTCTAAAATACGAGGTTCCGTACGTTAACCCCAGTAGGATAGATGGCGTGAATGGGTGGGGTTTAGAGGCCCCAACGCTGACATGGACTCAAGAGTCAAGACGCGGGTTGTGCGTGAGCCTTGATCACTATTTTCAGCCAGCGAGGCACCTCGGACTGGAGGTTCCGTATCGCCAGGCATTACAAGAATGCTCGCCGTATGTAGTATTTGCGTTTCGGGGCTCCCTGCATATGCGTATGGAGTATAGACATATTGCGGCTTCGACTATGTTGTGCCGAACGAAGACCCAAGGGAAATGACATCATGGGGAATGCTTATTCTAGAGCCCGTCGAGACCGCGCGGACGCCCCGAGACTCGTTTCGGCATGAGCCGGTGGTTTGGCAGGCTCATCCCGGTGAATAGACGAGTGATAAAGCAATTTAGCAATCTCCTCGATCTCTTCGAGTTCTCATATTTGAGTATTGAGTAGGGTAGGGTAGGGTACTGCTTGAATGTCCGTCGTGCCGCCATGTTGAGTATTTGGGAACTCAACTTCAGCCGTAGTTTCATAAAAAATTCACAGGACAATGCGAAGCGTACATGTTTAAATAATTCATCTCACAAAGGATGGTTAGGTTCTTGCCGTGGTTACTAGAGGACTCTTACTCCCTCTCTACCATCGCAAGATGCGCGTCCCAGGATCGGCTATTTCCAGAACCCATTTATTTTGGCTTCTAACCCGTTCCTAGATGCATAGGAACTGCTTGAGTTGATCTCAATGCGGCGCCATACGTCGGTTTCGCCGCACGCTCATTGTAATAACTCACTCTGTCTGCCCTGCCCTGTCCCGACAAGCTGAAACTTGCAGACTACCAAGGCGTCAGCGTAGTCACGATGTCAACACCGACCTCCAATGCATCTGATTCTGGAACCAGAACAGCCAAGAGTAAAGGTGAACCATCCCTTGACACAAAGTGCAATACGCTTCCACCGTCATACAACTCATGGCACAGCGGCTAACACGACGGTCTGAATCATCTCCTAGCTTCAAGAACAGCATCGAATCTGAACTCTGCTCAACTGGAGCGGAAGCGAGCCAACGACCGCGAGTCTCAGAGGGCCATTCGAGCAAGGACCAAACAACATATCGCTCGTCTAGAGCACGAGGTTCGCCGCCTCCGAAGTAGGGATTTCAACAGAGAATTCCAGCATTTATTACGATGTAATGAGGCTTTGGAGACCGAACTGCGACAATTCCGTGCGTCTGCCGCTGTCGGCTGTCCCAGGCCTCCTGCATGCGCTCCCCGAGGAATGATGATACCGGATGCCTCGTTGACGAGCAAACAAGAGGCAGATTACAGTTCCAGAAATGACACAAATTATAGCCCCCCGCGTTCGGTCCCGGGCCAGCATAATTCTGGCCACGTCCAACACGGGGAGCAATACCAGCACCCATCATTGACATATCTCAACGTCCCGCGTAGTGCTGCATGGGCGCCGCAACTTGCGACATCAGCGTCCACGGGCTGTTCGAGCGTTTCGTCCATAGGGACGACCCCGGCATCGTACATTCCGGTGGGAAATGCCACTGAGGGTGCTCTGGCGCCCATTCCAGCTCCGGTTGCAGACTTGGGAGCCGTTGAGTTTGCGAATGAGGCATCCCATGATGCATTGCAGTTACGACGAGACAAAGTTATACCCTTGGCACAGAGCGGATGCGCCAATCAAGAGTATTCGGATGGACCGTTTCCTTTGACCACAAACGCTGAAATGTCGCTGGCACCGGTTTATGCAGGCTCGACGCAGCCACCTATGCAAGGGTCCATGTACTTGGCTGGTTATGGGAGTTGACAGACTGGGGCAGAGATGACCGTTCAAGGCTTATTGGAATGTCTATTCGGATGGAGGGATCTACTGTGTAGGAGACACGGGGCTGTATTACGATAGAATCTCTGTTTTTTCCCTCCTTTTTTTTTTTTTGACACTGTACCTTATTTCGACGTATATTAAGACATAGATCAAATATTGGCTTCTCACATAGAATTAAACCAAATCGACACTGCAGCGGTGGTCGTACAAAACAGCTTCTAGTTCACGGTGCGTAGAGTCGAGGATGTGTTCTAAATCACCGCATCGATGGATGCTCAGCATGCCTTGATGTATGTAACAATGGGAAGACTGCCAAAAGAGAGAAAAAAAAAGATATCGTCAGAACATGCCATTCAGTAGTTTAGATCAAGAAATGCAACAAGATTTTTCTGCTAAGAAGGGACAACAATGCCATACTTCTTGAATGGGAACGCCTCCAGAGTGGTCAGTTCCTCGGCCCACCCGTCCCCAATCTCACCAACCTGGTGCATGTCGACTTCTCCAGCTTCTCCAGCACGACCGGCCAGAATCTCTTCCTCTCTGCCCGCAACCTCCTCCTTGAGCTTTTCGTGTGGAACCCAGACCACTCTCATCCCGGCTCTTCGGCCAGCCTCGACGCCCGGGACAGAGTCCTCAAAAACGAGGCATTCCTCGGGCGTGATGGGCTTCTCGCCAGCTGGAAGGGAGTCGTTGATGGTCTTCAGGGCCAGCAAGAAAATGTCTGGAAGTGGCTTGCCCCGACCGGATTGCAGCCGAGCGTCATCGCCAAGCACACGGCGGTGATCTGGAAACTTGGACAAAAGGTACCCCAGGTGAGCGGTTTTGAGCTCATAGTTGCTCTTGTGAGAGCTTGTCGCCAAGGCAATGTGGACATTCTCGATGTCCGGGTGCGACAGCTTGGTGAGCAAGTCGACGACTCCGGGGAGCGGCTTGGTAGTCGGAAACACTTGGTTGTGGAAAACATGGAGCTGGGCCATGTACTCCTCTGTGCTGATGGGCAACTTTGCCCAGTCGGAGAAGATCTTGGTGGCTGCCGGACCGGGACGACCTTGGAGTTTGGCCTTGACGGACCAGGGAAGCGGGGGCCGTCCATATTTGTCCAAGACGAGGTTCACGCACAGCGTGTAAAGATCTTCCGTGTCAAGAAGCAGGCCGTCCATGTCGAAGAGACAGGCCCGAACAGGAGGGAAACTTGGATTGGTGTCAGCCCAATGTTCGCCGCTTGTTTCCCCCCTCCTTGCCACAGGAGGCGTATCGAAGAAGAAGAAGAAGAAAAGAAATGTGCTGGTGCAAGGGTGTGATACACTTACTCTGTTCTAGGCGCCATGGTGCTCGAGGAGGACTATGCGTGCATCTACAGCAGAGAGGTTGGTCAGAACCACCGATTCACGGAGCGAACCACGTAGGAAGTTGGGACGAACGGCTGGTCTCGACGCAAGAAAATTGACAAGTCGGGGGGGAACAGGGTTTATAACATGGGAGCGAATTAATTCAAAAAATTTCAAGTCTACTGGCCTCCGGTCTATGTCTATGAACAATGCAGGTTGCGTCTCTTCCACCATGTACCCTTTTCTGATGCAAGTTTTCAATCCACGGTGCTCCACTATTGACCGGCTTGTGGCCACAGCTGAGACATGGAGGCTCTGCGTTTTCTCTTCCTCTCATTGACTCCTCTCACTCTCTGCCCCCTCCGTCGCCAGTCTCCACTTGGCTTTCCAATTAACCCGGCCCTTTGTCTTCTGCATCTGTAACATCTCTGTTGCGCTCGCTGAACATGGCAGAATCGGCAGGCCATGACCCGTCAGATGTTGGCACCGTGCCGGAGATAGTCAGGTTCTCGGTCGAGGAGGAGCAGGTGAGCCCAACCCTGAACCGCTCGACGTGTCTGCCTGCTTGCCAGCCTCATGATCCTCACATACTAACATGCATTTGTGCACCCGGTGGAAGGCATTGGTTGCCGAGTCAAATTCAATCAAGGCGGAAGCAAACGCCCTGTACTCGTCGAGGGACTATGAGAATGCACTGGCCAAGTACGAGCATGCCATATTGTCATGCCCCAACTACCTGCATTATGAACGTGCCGTTATCCAAAGCAACATGGCCGCCTGCCACTTACAGACAGAGCAGTGGACAGAAGCTATCAAGATTGCCTCCAAAGCATTGGACGGACTGGTGGAGCTGGAAAAGACAGACCCGGGTCTGTGCAACTCGATGAGCAACTTGAAAAAGTCGGACTCAAGCGACAAGGAATCGAGCGAAGCCTCACTCACAGACCCAGATGGTGTTGACGACGAGATCATCAGTTCCGGTGCATCCCGTGCTGCTCCTGCACCATCACCGCCCCAGAATTCGTTCCTTGAAACGAGGAAAGCCGACATTCGGAGAATCCGCACCAAGGCTTTGCTGCGGCGTGCCCGGGCTCGTTCAGAAGCTGGGGGTTGGCAACACCTCGCAGGTGCAGAGGAGGACTACAAGACACTATCGACTATGCCTGGCTTGGGAGCTGCAGATTTGCGCACAGTCCAAAGTCAACTCAAGACACTGCCCCCTCGAACAAAGGCCGCGCAAGAGAAGGAAATGTCAGAAATGTGGGGGAAATTAAAGACGCTCGGCGACGGCATATTGAAGCCTTTCGGGCTAAGTACCGACAATTTTCAGATGGCCAAGGACGGCAAGACTGGTGGGTACAGCATGAATTTCACATCAGGAGGGGAGTCGTCAAAGTCGTCCTAGCCCGGACCTACCGCAAATAGCATCACCGCATACAGAACCATTGATACCCTTGGCAGAGATTCACACAAAGGCACCTTGTGCATGGCACATGCTGCTTGAAGCTCAGCCACAAAACAGCTAGAATTTGATTCATACAACGGGGGCAAATAACAACACGGTCAAGAAATAAGCTGCACAACATGTACATTGCTCCCTGAAATACACCAATGTGCAAATCATTTTACATCCCAAAACCGAATGCTTGGAAATCATTCCCACATACTGGTTGATACCACGTTTTGTATGGTTGATCTACGTGACCAAAATAGGCCGACTCGAGAGGGTTGTCAATCGGTGCTTCAGCCCTTGAACTTTGGTGACTGGTAAATTCCCACGAGGTGGAATTTGACATGTTTGCAGCCCTAAACCAAGATTGTTCGCAGGGAAGTGACACCCCCGAGGCCGACTCTAGTTCTGACAATTCCATCACTGCCATGCGCCATTGGCACGCCATCTTGTGTGCTTCTGAGTTTGTGTTTGCGCCGGACGTCCGGGCTTCGTGAAGAATCGAAGAAGCTTCTTGTCGTTCTTCTGGGCTTACCAATGATAAGAAGGCAACGTTGACTGCTTGGAGGGCGATTGTCATGACACTTCGATCACGATCGCTTGCCACGATTCCCATGACCTGACGAGCGTGATGCAGCTGAAGTTCCTTCATTTCTGGCGACTGTTCTGATGATTCTATTGGATTTACCTGGGCGAGAACACACTGGGCCGTGTGATAGAATATTCTACCCAGCATTGCCGACGTCTGCGCCAGCCTATTAGACTGATGATGTTAGCTCACTGCACACATGCAGGTCGGCGATTGCCACTGACCAAAATTTCGGAAACGCCGACGGCTCACTTGAACCACTCATAGCCAAGTAGCCAACCGGCCGCATCGACCTGGGACTGCAGTTGCTCCAGTCGTCGCAGAGCTGCTTCAGCGCCTGCCACTCTGTGAGACGGTCAGAGAGCCTGGATTGGTGCTTGTGCGGATCAGAGGGAGGATATGTCAAGGAGGTTGCTCGGAAGTTGACAACTTTGGCCAGGATATAAAACGACCTGTGAACCCACGTCTGAGAGTCGCCGCCGTCCAGGTCGTTATCGTGGCTCCAGTCTAGATCGAGTCCCCAATCGTCAGGGTGCCAGGTTACCGCCCAGTTCATGGACAAGCAGGATAGGACTTCCATGCCGATGCTCAGCCAGAAGCATGCTGCCGGGATACCCGTGCTGGCAGCATTCCATCCGCACTCTCGAATGAGGGCTCTGGCCCCAACCATGTGGCTCATTCGATGTATGGGCTTGTGCGACATGGCCTCGTATACGTTGAGCAAAATGGATGCCGTTGTGCAGTCGACGACGTTTCTCTCTGGGTTTTGAAGCATTCGAACGAGCTGTGCTGTGGCCGTGTTGTAGAGTTCAATGGCCCTGTCTTCTAATCCGGGCTTGCTGAAGGAGAGGTGCTTTGCGCCGCACGCCATCAGGGAGTTTAGAAGAAGAGATGATTTAAGTGCGTGCCATGGAATCACCTGGGTGAAATGGTTGCCGCTATTGAGTGAATCCATCCACACGCCGACACCATCGGCAAAGGCTTGTAGGTAATTGAGTTCGTCCTGAGTTGCGATGAACTCCATCATATCGTCGCTGTATTTGCTGCCATATAACTTTGGCTCCCTTTTCATCGCTGGCGTTTCCGAACTCCAGTCATGGCTCTTGGTCGGCCCGTGGCAGATTAACGATGCTCTCTTAGTGTCCCCCAAACTAGAGGGCGTGTGAATCGGAAGCTCGTCTGAATAGAACACTTGCGTTATAGACCAGTCTTCTCCACACGACGAGTCCATCCGATCTATAAAGCTTTTCTGGTTCCTGTATCCTGCTACTTTCGTCGCAGGCGGCCAGATGGCAGCCGATGCACTGGCATGGCGGCTTGGGTAGCTAAGGAAGCTGCTGCTGTCTTCTGTCTTGACAGAAAGCTGTGCCTGCGCAGAAAGTTGAGCCTGAATATCATTACGGCCTGTGGGATCGGGTAAGTGTAAATCTGTGGCAAATCGGTTCTGTTTATCGGGACTTGTGGTCTCTTTATTCTCCGCACGCACATCGGTATAGCGCTGTAACCCGCCTCGATATTCTGAGGCGATCAGACGGGACTCGTCGCAGAATTCAACGGCTTCTCACCATGGTGTAATCAGTAGATTGCGGCATGAAGGGCGCCTGGGTTCCGAATTTACCTTGACAAACGCCCAAACACCGTTGCGGCGTCGGATTGTGCACTGTTATATCAAGGAAGCTGATCCGGAGGCCTCGTTTGCAATTCCGTCCGCTTTTGCGGCAGTTGATACAGTCCGGAACTGCTTCGTCGCACTTGAGATGCCGCTCGCGACATGTAAGACAGCCTGTTCGAACTCTCCTAAGCTTTGCCATTGCCCTTACGTCGATGCCACTGTCTATAGACCCGATATGGTTCTAGGGAAAGCGAATAGACTCTCTGAAGAGCACCAACTCTTTTAACTTGATTTATTTTTTATTTTTTCCCAAAATGATTGAGCCAGGATGCTGGGCAAGCCTTATACATGCGCACTTGACCGCTACGGAAATGCAGCATCGTCAATATGATATGGAATCATTTATGACGTCGAGCATTGAGGTCTCTCAGTAGTCCGGTGCTACCGGTAATCTGAAGAGACCACTGAATCTATATCGTGGGATCTTGGCCGTGGCACAAATGCGAGATCGAGATGCGGGTTCAGAGACACTCGATCTGGCCCGGACTCTCCGTGTACATGTGGCTGATGCACCAAGAATCCCCTTGCCATTCGCCTGCATATTAATGACGGAGTGTCATGGAAAATATAGAATGATGCTGTAAAAGGACAGAGCCCTGAATACTATTGGCCTCGTAGCGAGTTGTCTCAATTGTGCTGGTTGAGTTGCCTTGAGATTAAGCCACACTTTGCCGCCAGGGGAGTAAGGAGAAACGTGCAAAAGTCCTCAGCCAATACCGGCTGTTGGTGACTCTAGATTGGGTTATAGGTTAAAATGGTAACGGTTGATATCATTCGTTCTGCACATCATAGATGCATTGGGGGATGCTAGCGGTGCTTATCCATAATGTCTCACCGCCGTTCTCGTACAAGGTGAATGTCTCAGATTTACAACACATCAAAGCATAAAACGCACGCTACAGGTCAAGTCCTCGGTTCTTCAAACCCTATATTCTGTCATGAGTCCCATGACCCTACGCCGGGCCACGTTGAGTTTTTCTTGTCACACGGTTTGCGCAAATGAGCCCACGGCCTTTTCGCTAGCAACGGCTTGCCATTCGTCAAAGAGTTTCAGAGAGCTAATGGGGTATATCGACATTACGTATCACATCGATTTCCGTATCCTTGCAGAGGTTGGGAGCGGTTTTGCTGCCACGATTGGACCCTTTGCAGCGCAGGGTCTTGTGCGTTGTGAGAATACCGTCTATGGTACGGAGCACACGCCTAGGCTATAGCATCAGAAATTGGTGGGCATGAACCTAGTGGGGGTAGAAAGACTCTTGTGTGGCATCGCCGTATCGTGGAGTTTACTTTGTTTTTCGGTGCTGTTGTAAGAAGTCGCAAAAAGCCAAGGTGGTCGGTCAAAGATTGAAAGTTACCAGTCGTGGTTGAAGCGTGCACGTGACGTTTATCGATGGAGTCGGTCACCAAACTGCTCTTGCTTCTCAGTCTCCCTCCACAGCCAGCTTACAAAGTATCCAAGACTCCGTTACGCTGGCGAAACGAAACTTGATAATATTTTAGAGTGCATTATGCATCCGAGACAGCACTCAAAACCCGCCGGTCTGATCCACATATGAAGGCTGAGCAATGGCTAGCCCTGTCCCGTCTCCCAAGTTCATCCTCCGTGGGCACAAGGCCGCCGTCCATGCAGCCACATTCATCAGGCAGAATGAGCGGCTTGTGACGGGAGATTCCGAAGGCTTCGTGGTGCTATGGGATCTTACCGTTATGAGACCTCGGGCTGTTTGGCGCGCACATGAGAATGCAATACTGGGAGTACGAGGGTGGGGAGAAGACAAGCTTATCACGTAAGTGGCTCGCGGGTATCCCTTGTGTCTTTTATAAGTCGTTTTTGGAAAGCATGGCTCGCTCACACTGCTGAAGACATGGTCGAGATCATAAACTTATTGTTTGGAAGATTGCGAGAGAAGATGAGAGTGGCTTAAGCACAGTCCTGCCGTTGGATGGTGTGGATGTCGAAAGACGTCGTCCCTGGGTGGTTCATCTACTGGAAGTAAATACGATGAACTTTTGCTCATTCGCAGCTTGTCCGTTAGAAGATTCTCAATACTCGCCGTTTCTTGGAACATCTCCCGAAATTCTGGTAGCTGTTCCAAACACTCTCGCATCAGAATCTGTATGTCCTTGTCCCTTCCCCTCGTATCATCACGTCATACACTAACATTATAGGTTGATATATATACATTGCCATCACAAACGCGTGCCTACACAGTCCAACCGGGACCAAAAAATGGCATGGCAATGAGCCTGTCCCTGGCTCACCTTGAGAAACGCCTGACGTTGGTTGCTGCTTTTGAAAATGGATATGCGTCTGTTCACCGATTGACTCCTGAGGGGAGTTGGATCACGACATACAGGACACAGGCACATTCGCAACCCATTCTATCCCTAGACCTCCGGCCAGACTTGAAATGCTTCTTTACATCGGGGGCAGATGCCATTGTTGCCAAACACCCGATCCCGACGGCCCCGCAAGAGGTGGCCAAGCCATTCAATCCTTCTGAGCGAGTTATAGAAGAAATCGACGAGGACCCCAAACAAAATATTTCTCTTCTTTCAAGTACCTCAAAACCAGAATATGCAAAGGGGAAAGACCACGATGCTGTATTGGAAGAGTGGAAACATCCGAGAAAAGTAACCAATACGAAACATTCGGGGCAACAGAGTCTCGAGGTCCGATCTGACGGAGCAATCTTCGCAACTGCTGGGTGGGACTCCAAGATTCGACTATACTCCTGCAAGAGCCTCAAAGAACTGGCTGTTCTGAAGTGGCACAAGGACGGTGCTTACGCCGTCACTTTCTCGGATGTGGGACCAGAGACTTCGCAAACTGTCGACACGGACAGAGAGGCACAAGTCGGTTGCGAGGTGCAGCAAGCTGATGACGCTATTGATGTGAGTCGACTGTCTGTTCAAGATAGACGAATTCACCGCGTCAAGGCAGCTCATTGGGTTGCGGCTGGGGCCAAGGATGGCAAAGTGAGTCTCTGGGACATGTACTGAAGCACGCAAAGCGAAGGCACGGCCCCAAAGGCAAACACTGCGATACAAAACCATAGCCCATAACATGGTTCACATGTACGAAACAATGCCAACGTCAATGGTATAATGCAGACATGTTGTCATAATTCATACTCCCCGCTCCGTGCGAGCTCCCACCACGTCCTTAGCACCCACGCTGTCACCAGCGCATCTCTCTTCTTCACGCTCATCTCCTTGGTAATGAACAGTTTGCAGCCTTGTGCAGAATTCAACTCGCGTGCAAGAATCTCTCCCCGTTCATCCGACCATTCGTACTTGACCGCACTGGCCTTGGTTGACACTGCTGAAAATAGCAATCCCCGGACAACAACCTGGTGGCCTAGCCCTTTTCCAGCGCGGTGTACTCGGAATCCATTCGCCGACGAGAACAACCGAGGCCGATACGTGCTCATCCCAAAAGAGCAAAGACTATGTCGCGAGACTGATTCAGCGTTGTACAAGAATACTGGACCGGTGATGATGCCCGGATGTTTCAGGTCATATATATGGCGTTTTTGTGTGACAGCGTGAGAGAGTGGTCCTGTTGACGAGGAAGATGGCTTGATAGTGGTATCCAGTCTCTTGACGGTTATGCTTCTTGTTGTATCGCGGAGATGGATCAGCTCATGTGAGAGCTCATATAGCGGCTCTGTGGCAGATTTATCAGAGTAGATGACATGGCCGCTTATTCGCAGAGTCGCTGGAGGAAGAAGATACTCCCCATCGGTGGTGACTTCGCTGTATGAAGGTGGCTCAACGTCCATCTCTGTGGATTGCTGCTGCCAGAGCTTGAGTGGAGCTGTGAAATCAATTTGGGGCAGCGTAATCAGGGCCCTTATTATACTACTGAAACCAGTCGTATCCGGTCACGATCGCCGCGCATGTTACGGCCTAGTCTTCGCCAAGATATGGGATAGACCTACATAAGACGACTGTCTCGGGTTGTGTGGCTTTGGCGCTCGTGACGTGGGTCCGGAGGCTTGGGCAGCCTCGATGTGACATGCCCAATAATTTGTCAAGGCGATGCACCATGAAGAATGTCTATTTGTCACTTTGACTTGGCTCTTGGCTCCCCCACAGCCATTTCACTCAAAGTCGATTACCCATGTTGATGTGGACGGCTTTAACCTGGCTGTAGGCCTCCAAACCAGCCTCACCAAGCTCTCTCCCAATGCCGCTCTGCTTGACACCTCCGAAAGGAACCTTTGGATCACCGTCATTACTGCTATTTACCCAAACCATACCCGCCTCAATCTCAGATGCAACCCGGTGCGCACGCTCAAGATCTTTGGTGAAGACGGCAGCTCCGAGGCCGTAGGTGGAGTCGTTGGCTCGAGAAATTGCCTCTTCCTCCGAATTAAACCGGCTAATCACCACGACGGGACCAAAAATCTCCTCACGGTAAATTCGCATGCTGTCCTTGACCTCGGTGAAGATGGTAGGTTCGATGAAGAATCCCTTGGTGTCAGCATGGAGAGGCTTCCCACCACACACAAGTCTCGCACCCTCGGCCTTTCCGGCTTCAACGTACTCGAGAACTCGCTCATACTGCAGCTTGGAAACTTGGGGGCCCTGATATGTATCAGGACTCCATTGGTCGCCAACCTTGCTGACCGTCTTGGTCTGCTGGACGAATTGGTCGACGAATTGATCATAGACGCTGTCCTCGACCAGGATGCGCGACGTGGCCGTGCATATCTGGCCTTGATTGGACATGATTCCGAGGTGAGACCATTTTACAGCCTGCTCCAAGTCACTATCTGCGAAGACGAGGAGAGGCGATTTTCCTCCCGTCTCCAGAGTAATGTTCTTGAGCGTAGCGGAAGCCATCTTCATGATGTGTCTGGCAGTGGCTGTAGAACCGGTGAAGGCGACCTTGTCCACTAGAGGATGCTCGACTATGGCCGCTCCTGCATCCTTTCCATATCCATTCACGACGTTGACAACGCCGGCCGGGAAGCCGACCTCCTTGATCAATGAGGCTAGAACAAGAATACTAAGGGGAGTCTGCTCGGCTGCCTTGATAATAACGGTGTTTCCGCACGCGAGGGCTGGCCCGAGTTTCCAAGAAGCCATCGATAACGGGTAATTCCAAGGAATAATTTGGCCGACAACTCCAATGGGTTGACGGATGGTATAGGCGAACTTTTGGTGAGTGGTGGGAATGGTTTGGCCCGAGATCTTGTCCGCCCAGCCAGAATAGTAGCGAAATGTGCCAATGGCTTCCTCCAAATCGACACTGAGAGCCTCGGCATACGTTTTGCCTAGAGTTGGTGTTAGCACGCTGGGTGAATAGCTGTGGGACATTTGTGCGAGTTGTATTTTGAAGGCCCGGGGTGGGTGATGAAGAGGACGGAAATACGGCCGACGTGACAGCGAACTCACCATTATCCCAGGCTTCAATCGTAGCAAACAACTCCCTTTGTGCTTCCAGCCGGTCCGCAAGACGGCTTATCAACTTGCCCCTGTCGGACACAGGCATCTGCTTCCACGAGGGGTGCTTCAGCGCCGCATGGGCAGCCTTGACAGCGTCGTCTACATCTTCAGGGCCAGCGGCCTGGACGGTAGCAATTTCGTTTTCAGTACTGCAAGAGAAAGTCTGGGTCAGATTGCCATGATTTGAAATGTCAACTTGTAGTCTCTGCTGAACAAACGCGTGATGCACTTACGCGGGGTCGAGAGACGTGATGGTCTTTCCGGATCTTGACTTGACAAACTCGTTGTTGATGAAGAGGCCCGTAGGCTGGGTATATTTTACCCCGTTTGGAGCTGTTAGTTGGATGGACGGGGCGCTCATTGTTCCTACAGAGACGGAGAACTTTTCGACTTGGGAATAGGTGAAGTTGGAGTTTGATATGTAGGGAATGGCCGATGAAGGAGCAGGCGGGGTAAATGTGGTTCAATGTTGTGTCTCTTTCCTAGATGGGACCTGGAGATGCCAAGCGACGAGCTGCATTGGGGGCAGTAGACTGTCAATAGAGACTATACATGCACAAGAGAAAGGTATAAAGGCTCAATGGCTTGAGACAAAATGACGGTGTATATAGATCTAACGAGCTTTATCGGCGCGCAAACCCGGGGTAAACGGGGCCGAAATCCGGGGGCTGAGCCAGTCCCGAGGCACTGCGAGCAAAAAATAAAACAAAACAAAAGATTAGCGAAACCTTTTTTTTTTTTTTTGAAAAAGCCTGCTTGGTCGGGAGCTCGTAGACTTGCGATGTCTTCAGTACTGGCGATGGCGACGCAGAGCATTGATGGCCGGGGCTGGTCCACGCCAAAATCCTTCTCCTTTGAACAGCATTTGCGCGTAGATGGGTGCAGATGGGTATCCCTCCCATGAACCACGGTTGCAAGCTCGTCAAATCTAGCGCTGGAAAACTTGCGACGATGCGAAGAGCGACGCGACCAAGGGGTGCGGACAGCGGATCACGCAAACTCCGCCGAATCCATTTTGTCCGATAGTCTCTCAGCCACTCGGTACAAGTCCCGTGGGCACGCCCGAGATATGGGAATGGCGTGAAGCAGCCGTGTGGCAGATCTGTGAGGGCTTGTCTGAAGATGGGACAGGGGAATAAGCATACCAGACTTGCAACATGCTTAAGTCCGTAATTGCCGGCACACGACATCAGCGCAGACCAGGAGCCGTTATGCAATGGGAATGGGCGTTATGCAAGTTATGTAACTTGTGTATGTCCGTCTCACCGCAACCTCACCCACCCACTCATCATGAGCCATGTTGACGCTCACATCACCGTCATGACTGATGTCGGCTCGCCGCGTTCAATGAGCGACAAGCTACAGAGCACGGCGTAAGCAGCGAATCCAAAGGAGCAGAAAGCTGCGGCAATCGGAGCGCGAGAACCCTGTCTGGTTGGCGATATCTGGCCGGCGCAACATCAACTGCGAGCTCCATCAAACAAGGCCTTCCTTTGCCCGTCTTGGCGGACTTGCTTGGTAACATGTTGGAACTCGCTCGCTTGAGGCTAAATTAGGCGGCTTACACAATCAGCCCTGCGGACTTGGCGGGTTCGCCAGGGCGCCGTCGAATCGAACAGTCTCAGGTCGGGGATGCACCCGGGCAAGCTGCATGTGGCTGGCCACCCATGATTGTCATGGACTCATGGTACCCTGGGAATGGCAAAATGTCCATTGTACAGAGTAATGGTGTGTATCCACCGCACTAACACATCCCGTTATGGCTCATAAGCGCCGGTTGTTGCGTGGTTATTAGGCTGTCCAAATTTTGTCTCGTTGTCATGGCCGTGCTGTGAGAATAAGCACCGCTAGGCCTTGGGATCTTCAATGGGTCGTAAACTCCGCATGGCTAACCGCATCATCTCTCCGGATCTGTCTATGTGATTATCAGTGAGTCATGGTAGATTGCAACTTGCTACCGCCGGGGTCATGGTCCACGCAGGAGGGGGAACTGGATATCGTCGTCGGTTTTCTGCCTATATGTATGTCTGGGGACCACCGTGTCGACTCCCTTCAGTATTCCGCTCGCTTCATCGAAGACTTGGGATAACCGGGGACCTTGTTCTATGAAGATATATATATGTATCACTCTTCAGTCTCTTCTTCTCTTCTCCCACTGCGTATTCGTCTTTCAGCATAGAACCTAGGACGACACAAAATATTGCCCAGAATGACCAGCGCTACGGGCCTAGCGGTCCCAAAGGGTTCGGATCGAACTATTTCTTCAGCATCAACCATCGCCGGGGACCAAGCATCGGAAAAGGCCAATTACTCGAGTGGCGGCGAGGACGAAAGGCGTGCTAATAATATACAAGAGAAACATGACGATGTGTCATCCACCGTGGCCGACGATGCGTCTGACGATATCGAGTATCCCTCTGGTATCAAAATGGTCTTCATCGTTGTTGCCCTTGTCATGAGCGTCTTCCTTCTGTCTCTTGATATGGTAAGCCGCGCATTTAGCTGCTCCTTGTTTCCACAAGCTTGTCGAAACACCACTGACACGTTTACATGTAGACCATTGTTGCCACCGCCATTCCTAAAATCACCGACGAGTTCAAGGGCCTTGATAAAGTAGGCTGGTATGGTGCTGCCTTTTTCATGACGGTTGGTTCTATGCAGTCAACATGTACGTCGTTCCCGTCTTCATCCTAGTCGCAAAAGTTGCTAAGTCCATCGTGAATAGGGGGCAAGGTTTACAAGTACTTCCCACTAAAGACATCCTTCCTCGTCGCCATCTTCATCTTTGAGCTCGGATCCGTCATTTGCGGTGCTGCCCCCAGCGCAGAGGCCCTCATTGCTGGACGCGCGATTGCTGGTGTCGGCGCCGCTGGTCTCGGAGCTGGCGCTTATACCATCATCGCCTTTTCTGCTCCTCCCAAGCGGCGGCCTGCCTTTACCGGCATCCTCGGTGCTTCGTATGGATTCGCCAGTGTCATTGGCCCTCTTTTGGGCGGCGCATTCACCGACAACGTCAGCTGGCGATGGTGTTTCTACATCAACCTCCCCATCGGAGGTCTCTCCGCCCTGGTCATCTTGGTCTTCTTCCAGACGCCCAAGAGTGCTGTCCCCGTCAAGGCAACTCACTTGGAAAAGTTCTTGCAGATGGACCCTCTTGGTATTGTCTTGATGATGGGCGCCACCGTCACCTACATCCTTGCTGTGCAGTATGGCGGTGTTGCCCACGCCTGGAACTCGTCTGTTGTCATTGGCCTTCTCGTTGGCTTTGTCGCCATCACGGCGGCTTGGGCTGCTCTGCAGTACTTCCAGGGCGAGCGATCCATGGTTCCTCCTAGACTCGCCAGGGAACGCACCAACTGGGTCATGAGCGCCTTTGCTTTCATCTTTGCCGGCGGCTTCTTCGCCGCCATCTACTACATCCCCATCTACTTTCAGTCCGTCCATGGAACGAACCCAACCATGAGCGGTGTTCGCAACTTGCCGTTCATCGTTGCTGTCACAATCTCTACCATTCTCAGTGGCACCTACGTATCTGCGACGGGCCGATACCAGCCCATGCTCCTCGGGGGTGGCGCCGTTGCCACCGTCGGCGCTGGTCTCCTGTACATGCTCGACGTCGACTCTTCTACCGGTGCATGGATCGGATACCAGATTGTCGCTGGACTTGGTTGGGGAACCGCTTTCCAGATTCCCATGATTGCTGTTCAGGGCTCAGTTCCCCCTGAAGATCTTGCCTCGGCCACCGGCATGCTCCTCTGTAAGTGCCTTTGCGACGTTTGTCTTTTCCAACGCGGACCCCCCCAATGACTAACCAGTGAAATTTTTTAGTCTTCCAAAGTATTGGAGGTGCCTATCTCGTCTCTGGAAGCCAGGCTGCATTCATCAATCAGATGGTCGACCACGTTCTCAAGAACGCACCCCAAGTTGACCTGGGAACCCTTGTCCTCACTGGCGCTACTGAGATTCGACACGCATTCCCTGCGGACCAACAGCCTCTTGTCATTGCCGGCTACATGGCTGGTCTTAAAGTTGTTTTTGCCATGTGCATCGCGGCCACTGGAATCGCCACTCTCATCGGCTGTTTCACTCGATGGTCGAAGCTGAAGCAGGGAAGTATGACTGGTGGCGGCATGGCCTAAGTATAACATGCTTCATAATTGCGGCTCTGCAATTTAATTAATGCTCGGAATTGGGTTGGTTTAGAATAGAATACTCTAATGACTGCATTGGGAATTGGGAATATGAAGTTTTGTGTTGGCGCAGGAGGGAATTCTATATTATACTATCGATAGAATTGATAGATGTCGCAGATTAATGAGCACAATCTCCCACTTCTTAATTGAACACTCTTATGAATGACTAATAGTTTCAAATATTCGAAAAGGATGGGGTAGAAAAGGGGTCAAAGCACGAATTCTTGCCTGACAGCAAAGTTTGCCCGCTCGTTTTGTTCATGTAGCCTGGCTTTAAGGGTTAGGGTTACAATTATGCCCACGGGCACTCACAAAGAGGCCCTTGCTCTCCGCGCAGATCAGACCTGACATAGTCCAAGTTCGGCACTAGGAACAATAACGCTGAGTGATTTTTCAAAGATTTTGACCCCCCTGTCCATGACCCGCAGTCATTAATTTCCTGTTTGTTACGGCAGAGGTTCGTACCTCGTCACCATGACTGGTGCGGCGGATATGTCTAAGTACGTGGCATGCTTTCCACTTCCAACTCTATTTTCTCAACAATCAATTGAAAACACAATGGTCTTGTAAAACTAGCGAGATTATCAAGTGCCGGGAGCAAGCATGAATACTTTAGGCAGCCAACTTCCCAGCTCAGAACAATACAGTTCAAAGCCATTCGTCATCCTTGTTCTACCCACCACGTCCCTTGTGCACGACAGAACAATCGGTTTTCACCGCAGACTCTTCATCAATTCATAATAGATTTGGACTGCGAGCCGGGTATATAACACCATCATTTGGCCCGGAGCACATTTCAGTTTTTCATCTTTTCATTTTTTTTTTATCCAACGCCCTACCATTCCAACACCACGGCGTCGCAGCACCGCTCCCGTGGTTCACTTTGAGGCTGCTGACTCATCCGCCTTTTCCCTCATTCCCCATCGAAAACTCCGGCGTCCCCAAATCTCCGCAGCAGAAACCATCACGAACAGACTCCTTTTCAAGGCCATTGCGGCCCCGAAAATGGAAAATACGCTTTTCCCCTCTCTTGTAATTTCCCTCCACCCGCGCCGCCTCACACACTGTCGCTTTCCTTCCCCCTCGGCTTTCCCACTGCAATGCAGCGTCTGGTAGCGCCTCAGATCGGGGCACGTGCTGCCCATGGCCCGCGGCGTGGCCCGTCGCCATACATGTGGTCAAGGTCACTACGGACGGCCGTCGAGACCGTGCCGTCCTCGCCTATTCGCGTGCTCCGCGCGGTCGAGCAGGTCCGGAGATGGAGGAGGCCGCACACGGTCAACTATCGCAGCGTAGGGCTCGTTCCCACCATGGGAGCCCTCCACGAGGGTCATCTTGCCTTGATCCGGGCCGCGGCCAAGGAAAACCACCACGTTGTCGTGAGCATCTATGTCAACCCGGCCCAGTTCGGCGTCCAGGAGGACCTGTCGTCCTACCCGGTGACGTGGGAGACCGACACCGCTGCGCTGGCCAAGCTCGATCGCGAGCTGGCTGATGACGGGGCCAATCTCGGACGCATATCCGCCATCTTTGCGCCGACCACGCCCGAGATGTACCCCTCCGGGTTCCCCGGACAGGCCGTCGATAGCAAGGGGAGCTTTGTCACCATCACGCCCGTGGCCGAGGTTCTCGAGGGCGCCAGCCGGCCTACCTTCTTCAGGGGCGTCGCCACGGTCTGCATGAAGCTCTTCAACATCGTGCAGCCGGAGCGCGTGTATTTCGGGCAGAAGGATGTCCAGCAGACGGTTGTCATCCGGCGCATGGTCAAGGACCTCATGGTGCCTACGGAGGTGGTCGTCTGCCCGACCGAGCGCGAGACTGATGGCCTGGCCATGGCTTCACGCAACGTCTACCTCGGCACTCGCCGTCGCGATGTCGCCATCGTTCTTAATACTGCCCTGCGAGCTGCTGAAAATGCCTACCGCGGAGGACACACCGATCGCGCCACCATCCTTGGCGCTGCGCAGCATGTTTGCGCCATGATGCTCAGGGCGCAGATGGACATGAAGCCAAGTGAACGGGCTCAATTTGAAGTCGATTACATTTCCCTCGCCGACCCGGATTCTTTGCACGAGGTTGATGCCGTCGATGTGGCAAGGGGTGCTGTTTTGAGCGGCGCGGTGCGAATGTCCCCTGTAGAAGAGCCGTATGAGGGCGAGGATCTGGGCCATTCCGGTGGCCCTGCTGTCAGATTAATTGACAATATCATTCTACCGCCTAAATCAACTTGAGTTGTCTTCTACGGCGCGGATCCATCAGCGGCTATAGCGGTTTAGCCGCTGCTATTGTTGTACATTATAAAGAGGGCAGCGGTTTTGTTCATGTCTGAGTCGGCTCTTTTTGGCTCGGGGCTTGGATACTTTGCGCGGGGTTCAGCGACGTCAAGACCAAGACGTGGCATGCAAAAGCGTTGATATTTATGGGTATATAGACGTTTTCTGGTTGTACAAATATACATATTCATATCTTTACAAATGTGCCCGCTGGTTCAGCTTCTTCCTCCTCCTCCGCACATCCTTCTTGTGCGCCTCCTGTTCCTCGACACTGAGCCGACTGGGAACTTTGTTCTTCCCCTGCTTCTCGCCGTCCACAGCCTCGGCGAATAGCTTGGCCCCCAATTGGTCGGTCAATCTTAGCACACGCACACTGACCGTGGCCCCGTCTCGTCGATTCTTGCCCTCTCGTCGTGAACTAGCAATCTTTTCCGTGAAATCCCAAAGTTTACCTGCAGCAACGAGGGCACCGGTTTTGGGGTCTCGCGACGGCCGCCATTCTGGATCGAGTTGAATCCTAGGCGGGATCTTGGGGTCCTTGGACTTGACTACGTGAATGATTTGATCTTGCTCAAAACGGGTGTATGAGTTCTTGAGGGTCTCCTTGTTCACGGCTTCAAAGTACGACAAATCTCCTTGGTGGTAGAGAGTTTTACCCAACTGTTCAGAGTTAGTTAGTGTACATGTATCATAAAGATGCCAGTTCTACTCAATCACTTACTAGCTGAGCGCTGTTCTGTGCTTTGTTTTGCTCAACCCAGATTTCTCCATTACTCCCAGGTGGTGGTGATAGGCCCATCAGCGAGACAGCCGCAAGCCAGCTGGCTTCTATGAACGGCCAAATCAAGAAACAATAGAAGTCGTAATTCTCGCGGCCTGCCTTGCGTTCTTCCACGGACAGCCCGATTGTGGTGACAGTGCCGCTCTGATCTCGATCGAGTCGAACAATATGGTCTGCCTCGAGACCATGGAGAGTGTTGTCCAAGTTTGTGACAAGGCCATCGGATCCGAAAATGAATTCGCCGCGGAACAAAGAGGACAAGAAGAAGACTTGGTCCTTCAGTTCAGTGTATGAGATGTCTTGCATAGCAGGCCCACCACCACGTTTGACATGCATGTACATTGCCGCACTAACCAAGGCCTCATAGATGAACAAATGAATCGTCATGTTTCGGTAGAACGACAGCTGGAAGCGGTCAACCGCATAGAAGGTCGGCTCAGCTAGGCCATTGACAATGCCGACAAGGTCCTTGCCAAGCACATCCAAACCACGATTGATAATTTCAGACGTGGGCGCGTTTCCAAAGTGAGCAACACGCCCTCCCTTGGCACGAATTCGGGCAGTGAGCCATTCAACACGGCGGATCAACTCTTGTAAACCAACTCCACGACCACGCAGAGTAAGGAGAACTGTGCCAATGAGAGCAGTTGGCATAACGACAGACACAGCATTGATGTCACTTAGCACCTTGTACCCCATGGTCCTCAAAATCTTTTCACGAGCGGCTCTCACGTCAGGCTTGTGGTGTTCGGTGTCTAAGCCAGGGGGAATAGACGGAAGGCGAGATAACTGCTCATCAACAAACTTGCGCAGGCTCCACGGCTCATGAAATCTGACATCCACTCTACCAAGCTTCAATGAAAGAACAGACGAGCCACCAGAAACGAAGTCTGCCAAATTCTCCTTTTTTTTCGGTACTCCAAGCAACTCAGTGACATAGCCCTCGGTTTCAATGACTTTGTCATACTGAGTACTGACGGGACAAACAATTGCGTCATCAACCCGCCCAGATAGAATGCTGTCAAGAATAAAGCTCAGAATGCCGAATTTCGGCGGCAATAGCTTCCCGGTGCGAGAGCGGCCTCCTTCAATAAAACATTCAAAGTTGTAGCCCTCTTGGAGCAAGGTGTCGATGTAGCTCTGAACCAACGTGGTATATAAGGCATCGTCACCAAATGATCGCCTGATCCACATGGCACCAGCATGCTGCAGGAAGCTGCCGAGGAGCGGGATGTTGAGATTATCTCCGGCAACGACGATAGGCAATGTTAAGCCGAGGCGATAGCAAATGAGCTGCAGCGAGACGTAATCGACGTGAGATCGGTGGCTGGGTAGGAAGATGATACTCTGTTTCTTCTTGGCAGCAAAGTCAGCAACCTTTCGTAGGCGCAAAACTTCTTCGCTGGACACGTGGATTCCTTGGTGATAGGCTCTGGTCAAAAGCTGGGTAGCCATGTAGTAGGCCCCTCGAATAAATGGCTTGCTTTCCATTTTGCAGATCATGTCGTCGGTCATCTTATCTGCGACTTCCTGGAGCCCATTCTCGAGAGCGTTTCGCCTCTGGGCGCACTTTACTCCAAAGTCTTTGTCATCCTTGTTTATTAGTCCTTCCTTGACTTCAACGGCGACCCTGTCCTCTGCAAGCTTTGTGATGCGTTCCTGAAGCAGTGGTGCTGACAGAACCATTGACTTCATATTCTCTGAAAAGCCGGAATAAAAGGCCGGTTGACCAATGACGTTGTTATATGCTCGCCAGCCCTGACCCGAAACATACAATGACACTTCTCGAAGGAATCTACAGTACGACCAGTCAGTCTGTGCTTCAGCTCATGTCGCCAACTCTCATGGGATATGTAGGTGTCGCGGTACTGTAAAGGCTCGGCGCGGAACGAGGCAAATTGGTTCAGCAATGCCTCTTCCTTGCCCTCATGGCCACCCTCCGGCTCAACATAGCCACTAGGTTGCAGGGTGATCTCATCGCCGAGAATCTGTAGATCGGGAGCAGAGCTGCTGCCAGCATCGGCGGGCTCGTCGTTGGGCGGCATGCTTCTGCCGGCGATGGACGGCGCGAGATTGAGAAGGAATATATGGTACCACGGGCGCCGATGGCTGAAGCGAGATGCTAAGGATCAAACAGCAGGCTCGAACAGTACGGCATCCCCCACAAACGTTGATGCTCTGAACGGCATGGAATGGAGATGAGAAGCTAACAGCGAGAGAGCGAGCGGCCAGGATAATACTACTATTGTGGGGGAAGCTGGCTGATTGCACGACCAGCCGAGGGAATGGCCAACATGTGAAACCATTGGTGGGAGCTTGGGCCAGAATCCCAGGTGCCGACATGGACATCTAGACACATGCATCTGCCACTTGACCAAGTTGGCCGCTGGTGGCCCCGCGTAGCAGCAACCGAGCCGCCTGTGGCTGAGCACTGCTGGCCTGTAACCTCAAGCATTGAACCGACTGGTTCGCTACATGTGGGGCAGACGCGGACCAGGCCTGACTGATCAAGAAACTTGAAAAGATCACAAATGTCGGGGAAGCCATCTATCAGCAATCTTCTTGCCCAGCAGCCAGATATCTGCATAGTCACACCACGCCTCCTCGAAGCCCGCTGAGGCTAAAACGACGCTTTTACGACATTATACAATTCCTGACATCTTCCATCTGTGCATGAGTCTGCGATAATTGTCACGGGCCAGCAAATATGGCGGCAACAACCCCCCAGCAGCTTACGAAAGATCTTCTTGCCAGAGCCCATTCTCCAGATAGTGTCAACCGCATCTACAATGAAAAAATTCTACACCGTGCTCTACATCTTCGGCCATCTTCCCCCCCGCCCGCCGCAGTCAATGCTCGAACTGCGCGGAGAAAGATTCGGGACCAAAAAAAGGCAAGGAGCAAGGCCCGTCCGAAGCCTCTCTCATCTCGAGAACGGCGGAAGCTAGGGCTGTACGACATCCCCAAGGACGGTCAGAAATACAGCATATATGAGCCACTCTACGAACTATGGCAAGGCTATGCGAGGGAGATTTTGGGGCGTGATATATTCCGCCGTGGCCCCGAGGCAGCGGCCAAGTTGGCCAGCGCGGAACTCCATGGTGCGCTTACTGAGGTCGTTAGAAGCCGATGTCCGGGACGTGTGGGCTTGAAGGGCATCATTGTTCGCGATCGCAAGTTCGTTATCGAGATAATCACTGAAAAGAAGGGCATCAAAATTATCCCCAAAGAAGGAACGACATTCCGTATTGAAGTTAGGCCCGAGACGACCCAAACGGCCTCTGATTCGAAACCCTTTGTGTTTGAAGTCTTGGGGGATCAACTGATGCTTCGTTCCGCGGACCGCGCCAACAGAAAATTCAAGCAGCACTTTCTCCCCGATCTTTAAGAACTGCCTGTTAGGACGGACACGTCATTTATCCTAGGACGAACAGCTTTGCACGAAAGCCTATGCTGAAACCTTCTAGAGCAGTTTCAGTATCCCGGGCTTCTGTTCTGGTTACCTCCAGCTCATCAGGCCGGCTTTGCTTAATCCACTTTGTACCCATCTGTGCAATGCGGATTGAGATATGCATCACTCTGCTTTAGGTAGATCCTGGGCAAAGTCAAATCCGTCAGACATCCCTCCCGTTTGTCACAGTTAGCACCCATATCTCAGTCCCATTTTCGCCATGCCCATCACAGTAGCATGGTTGTGTTGAAACTGGCAATAGATGACTCAGGAGTACGTCATTCAAGGATTCACTTTGGCAGGTTTCTGTACGACATGCCCTTTCGACTCAATTACTCCAGCATTTTGAAATCTTCCCTCCACTTCCATTGGAAAGTCGTCAACAGAAACGATTTACAGCCTAACCAACATAACTTGCAGAAGACGGAAGATCTGTCCACAGGCTCTGGGTTCACAGATTTGACATATTTTGTTGAATGAAGCTGTCGTGTGACTAATCGATCGGTTTCAACCAAACATGCATTAGAGCACTAGTGGTATATAAGATTAAAATCCACCAGATCAACGTGCAGCCACCATGTAGCGTAGAAACTGGCTTCTCCGGTGCAATCACGCTTCCCGAAGGGTCACAAAACGTGGACACGATGCCTCGTGATCCCCATTCTAAGAATCATCAATGCCCCCAAAAAATTATACGCTAGACATGGTAGCTGACTTTGATGTTAAGCGTCCATCAAGGGCTTTGGAAGAACGTCCCCGGGCACTGGAAGTCAAAAACACGGCCAGAGTTCACCACTAATTGGGGCCTTGGGAAAGGCAAACATAAGATTCCGTTACAAAAGCAGAGTTGCAAAAGTGGATTCTCGTCTCGAGTGTGTATAAACTTATTCTTGCTGAGGTAGTGACCTGGTATCAAAGCTTAAACGTCCAACCCTACACCCGCGTGAGTCGCTTGAGAACCTAATACAGGACCTGGTACGCGCAAACCTTGAAGCACGCGCTCTGCACGCATATTGCCTGCCATTTTGCACATATGCTCAAGTGCTCTCCACGTTAGGATTCAGCCCTCACGAAGCGGCGTCGGTTAAAGATCGGAGGGGCTTCTTCCGGCTTAGCGTTGCATGCCTCCCAACTTCCAGCCACTCAAAGGACTTGGAGAGCTGGTGGTGGACTTGAAATCCAGCCACTTGTGTTTGGCCCGCCATCCCCGTCACTTTGGTCAGTGTCTGCACACTGGCAGCGCTGTCTTCCGGCGCCTGCCAACCTGCGTCGACGCCATGGAAGTGGCACCAAGTGGCTGCACCTCGACTTCTCCGTATTGCAATTTTGCCTTTTGCCCAAACCTCAGGTTTTTCCCACCTACTAGCCTCACAGCTCGACTAGCTTTCCGTCAACTTCCACCTTACGCTTTGTATGCCATACACGAATTCACCGCCAGCCCTCTACGCGTACTTTTGCATTGCTTAATCGCTCCGAAAGCATCTTCTGCATCGACCTCTACTTGTACAATCAGTATTACACCCACACTCACCCATCCGCCCTTTTTGACATTTCGTCCACCACAAACACGGACGAAAGAAACAAACCCTTAACGAGGCGCGACCTTCTAGCACAACACACAACACACGACCCGTGGGTGCAGAACAGTATGACGTCCAATCTTCCTTCCAGCTTTGCCTCGGCTGCAGCTGGTCAGAATGCGAATCGGGATGCGAGGGGCGGCAGAGGAGATGGAAGGGGAGCTGCTGGAGGTGACTGGTGAGTTCGATATTTGCCCATTGTTTTTTCCTCCACCGCCGATGCCTGCGCATTTTCCATGCTTGATGTTTCTGTAATGACCATATTGTTTGAATTTTATCTTGGAGACGCTTCCCTTGCGGCAATGGCACCATGTCAATTTCATTTTATTTACCCTTTTTTTTTCGCGGCATACTTCAACGCACCGCGTCTCCCAGATCGATGGGCACGTGTGGTCAGTGCGGATGCCGCCTGATGCCCAGCTTCTATCGTATATCTCTTCACAATCATCTTGAAGCTATAAGCGAAATTCAATTTGCGCAACTATCGCTAACTCTTCTGGTTAGGTCGCGCAGAGACGGCCGGTCTGCTAATGGCACCCTCACTCTCCGACGCTCCTCAACGACCCCCATCGGCCAAGCTTCACAGTCAGCTCCCTCGACCGACCACGCCGTCCAGCAACCAATGCCCGTTGACACAACCCCAGTGCTGCCCTCAAATTACGACGCTGGACCTGCACGATACACCAAGGATGATCTGTTGGGATTCTATCGGTCGCAAAAGCCAGGTGATGATGCGACACGCCTCTTTATACCAGGATGGGACCCGACACACGTTAATGGCGGCAATGTAAGGGGCTGGGGAAAGACCAACGACAGTAATGTTCCACAGGAACCCGGTGCCTGCTGGGACCATGATGGACATACTGCTCCCATGGGCTTGCACGAATTTTCGACAGAGGAAAAGGAGGTAGGCTTTCCGACTGAGGCAATCGCTTGCGTTTTGTGTTGTCTCGCAGCGGACTAATGTCATTCTTTCTGATTCAGGCCTTTTCTACCGAGATCAACTCGCCTCTGAAACCCCCAACGCAAAACAAAGACGGCCATCAGGGAAATGTGAATGGCCGGAAGGCTTCCATTTCCCAGGGCTCCGGAAACTCGTTTGGGGTCATATCTCCCTCATCCGCTACGCGACCGGGAACCCGACGACGCGAAACTATTGAATCGAACCCATTCAGTGGTGCCCTTATTTCACCAACTACAGCGAACAGGTTTTCTCGGGAGGATTCCTCGCCATGGACGCAACGGAGAAGCAATGACTTGCGAGAGTCTGAGCCAGATGACGGCGAAACCGACGCAGCAGCTGCGCGAGAGTCTACCACTAAGCTGCCCTTTGGGAACCTGATGCGTTCGAATACTGCCGGTAGTGCCGGGATGATATCCATGTGGCCTTCTTCGAACCCAACGACCCCTGCGGGTGGCGGTTTTGGCAACTTTACAATGCCGTCCTCATCCGCGATTGGGGACAGGAGGGCTGGCGGCGCCGCGCCTGGTGCGAGTGGTAGTCGCTTAGCTCATTTGATTCCCAAGGATACTTCGGATAACAATGTTGCCAAATCTGGCGACACCCAAAACCCTCCATCACAGCACTCCTGGCGATCACGTCCTCGTACTGATACTGACCCATTTGGTGACGACGAATTGTCTGGAAGTGCCGTCCTGGGTGGCGCACAAGACACCAGTTCGGCTGGGCACTCCCATGTCAGTCGCGTAGGTGTACTTGGCACTCCTGTGAAAGGCTCAACAAGCGACTTTGGGATGTCAGGGCTCAATCTTGGACTCCAGCCAGGGCACGACGGACCCGCCAGTCCTTCAGAAACCAATCCTTATCGCAGCCCTCCTGCGGAGCGTCATGAACATGATGAAGCGGAAACCGGTGCTGGCGAGCAACCCCTGGCAGCAGGACACAACGAACCACCAGCCACCTTCGGGTCTATATCCAGGGGATTCGGTGCGCCTAATTTCGAGGGTAGTGACCGCAGTCAGACTTCCAGCGTTGGCGCAAAAGGTTATCCGTTGGGAGGTTTGTCCGGGTGGCCAGCTCCGGCCGGGCCATCTACAGGAACGCCGGACAGAGAACGGCCCAGCTTTGGCAATCCATTTGGCAGTTCTTTGTTCAGTCCAGTTGGAGATATACAGTCACCAGGCCTGTCCAATCTAGGTAACGTATTTGGAGCCCCTGGTGTTAGTCTTGGCGCAGGAAGCATTGGCCGTGGCAGCAAGCTTGGGTCGCTCTTCCCTACGGCGATGCAGGCCCAAATGCAAGGACATGATCAAGAGCATGGCATGAACGACACCTTGCAGGGCCACCCCCTAGGAGCTATTGGCCGAGGCAATTTGCCTGGCCCAGTACGGGATACCGGAAGCCCTATGCGACCCAACAGGGGCGTCTTCGAAGAATTGTTCCCATCAAGCGACAGTGGTCGATCGCATACAGGCTTTAGTGCGCCTGACAATGTCCAACAAGTTGGGGTCGGAGGATCTCAATCATTCACGCCAGTCACTGGTGGTATTCCGTTCGGTGGTGCCCAAGGAAGTGCAGACCCTTCTGGAACTCAAACGAGACAGATGGTTATGCCTGATAGGATGAGGTGGGTGTATCTTGATCCTCAAGGGCACATGCAGGGACCTTTTACTGGACTAGAAATGAACGATTGGTACAAGGCCAACTTCTTTACCCCTGATCTTCGAGTCAAGAAGATTGAGGATTCAGATTTCGAACCCCTTGGTCAGTTGATACGCCGCATTGGCAACTCACGCGAACCATTTCTGGTACCGCAAATCGGTATACCACATGGCCCAGCTCCTCAAGGCGGCCCGTTCAATCCAACGACAGGTGGTGGTGTCATCCCGCCACTGAGCGGAGTGTTCCCCAGCTTTGGTAGAACGCTGACGGCGGAGGAGCAGAATAACCTTGAACGAAGAAAGCAGGAGGAACAGTATATGATGGCCCAGCAGCGAGAGTATATGATGCGCCAGCAGACCATGCCCAAGTTCCCAATGCCAGGCCCCGGGCTCCAGCATCATTCCAGCGCTCACAGTCTGCAAAGCCAGCCAAGCTTCGGCAGCATGACGTCACCCATTGGTGTTGCCCCCCAGCAACAGCCCATTGGAGCTGCCGCTCCGCAGCATGGTTCTTTTCCGGATACTCAAACAGGGGTTCAGACTGCCGGGAGAGGTAGTTTGGGAAACGGAGACCCCTTTAGAGTGGACGAGTTAGTCGGTCTATCTGTGGCTGAGCGGGAGGTTCTTGCAAGTATGCGTGGTGCTAGTGACGAGGTAACGGATGATCAGCAGCAAGCCGCAGACGCAGGATTTAGGGGAAGCCTTCCTGATACCGAACAACTTGCCGAGGACCAGGAGGGCTTCCGTGGTAGGCTGAAGGAATTTGAGGAATTGCGTGCACAGCATGACGCAGAGCGGCTGACTGAGTTGGCAAGCGAGAAAGAGACTAGTTCTGCTGTTGACACTACCCTCGACACTTCCGCCCCTCAGCATCCTACTCGGGGCGGGAAGGGGAAAAAGAAGATTTCTGAGGATGGCACCTTGTCGCTCACCCAACAGGTGCAGAAGGCACAGGCTGCTGCTGCTGCAAGTGTCCAGCCAGTGGAACCCGACATGCCAATGCCATTTCCTCCTCCTTCATCCGCTACACCTCTGCCCGCGCCGACAGCTCAACGAGCACGATCCAACCTACCTGAGCAATATAGCCGATCTCAAAGCGGTACTCCAGATGCGGCTCAACCCCCACCCCTGGCTCCATGGGCAAAGGAGCCAGGCCAAGAGGGGACAAAGGGACCCAGTCTGAAAGAGATACAAGAAGCTGAGGCTCGCAAGGCTGCGAAAGCTGAAGAAGCCGCCGCCGCCCTCCGCAAGGCTGCAATCGAGCAGGAGGCTGCCCTGATGCGAGAAAAGGAAAGGCAGGCCGCTGCTGCCGCTGCCGCGGGTCTTCCTGCCACGAGCACCTGGGGACACGGCTCTCCTGTATCTGCCTCTAGCCCGTGGACCAAGCCGGGGACCAACAAGGGAACATCTTCTGGGCCCACAACATCTAGCTCTGCTAGTAGTAAGAAAACATTGGCCGAAATTCAACGTGAGGAGGAGTTTCGCAAACAGAAAGCAAAGGATACTGCTAGTCAATCCGGGATGCCGGTGAATGTTTCCAAGAGCTATGCCAATCTCGCGGGCAAGCCTAATCCTTTACCTTCTCCATCTCTACCACAGGCTGCAAGCCCATCCATTGCCGGTTGGGCAACCGTTGGTGCCGGCGGCAAGGTCAAGGTACCAAACGGACCAGCGGCCGCCCAAGTTCCACGGTCTCTAAGCTCCTCTAATATCAAGGCACAAGCTCCAACACCTGGTAGACCTATCAGCAAGCCGGCTTCGACTGTTGGCAGCGTCGGTGGTAAGGCTGAGCCGGCCAATGTAGCAATGGAAGAGTTTAACAAATGGACGGTGCGAGAGCTGTCCAGAGGAGGTCTCAAGTGCGATTGTAAGTCCCAATGCGCTGCCAGTGCAAGACGAGCAGACATCGTGCTGGCGAGGTCTCGGACTAACCCTACTGTCACAGTAACTTCGCTCCAAGCCGACTTGAATATGTTCCCTCTCGACTCGAGCATAATTGCAGATGCCGTCTACGCCAGCTCTACCACAATGGACGGCAATCGCTTCGCTGCTGAATATGTGCGGCGAAAAAAGCTGGCTGAAAAGGGTGTTGTAGAGAAACAGTCACCAGGAGAAGCCGCGAAAACAGCCGCGGCTGGAGGTGGATGGAGTGAAGTCGCAAAGCGAAGCGGAAGTGCCCAGCCTAAAGACGCCGACGCCGGAATCCAAGGCGCTGGCTTTAAGGTAGTTCCAAGCCGAAAGAAGGGCAAGAAATAGAGACATCACTCTTCTACTTCTCGAAGGAACGCCGAGCCTAGGAAAAAATCCTTGTTTGAACGTAGACGCTGAGTGTCAAATGATTAGCTTCGCTGGAGGCAGCAATTTGGGATGAAGGCAACTGTGGTTTGCGAAACTGCTGCTGTTGCATCTGTTTGGAGACAACCTGTTCTGGCTTTGAATGCGTGGTTTCAACGATGCAGGAGAAAACTAAATACCTAAGGTATGAGAGCGGTGATGAAGATTTGTACAGCGTGTAGGAGCCATTTTATCAAAATATGGTAGCAATTGAAGGCCTCAATAGGGGCAGAAGCGTTGTCAAACTGACATGGAAAATGTTCACACCTTGAATTAATACGGCGTCTTATGTTAAAGGTACTGGGTGATGCACAAACGTACATTGACAATCAAAGGACGCATGCAGTCACAAGACGCGAGGAAGAAGGACTTGTTTTCACGTCATAATACGCCACTCTTGTTGGCTCTGGGGTTTATGTATCCATTTATATCGTTGGGGTCGTTTGACACAAATCATCGCACCAGCATCATTTGCCCTCGAGACGTCTCCGTATTTCTCCGTCTTTGATGACCATTCCCCATCCACCCTTCATCCTTTGTCTTCTCCTCTGGAGGGAGGACACGTCTATTTCGAGAGCTTTAATCCCTCCATCAGGGCTTCCAGCGTATTCCAACCCTCTGATCCCTCCCAATTCTCCTTTCCGCGGCTCATGACGCTACGAATTGCACTGCGCGCTTTGCCTTTCCATTTACTGCCCACCGTGTCGACGTCGTGTGCCCAGTTCTCCAAAATGGATACAAGCTCATCCGTTCGCTTGACCACCTCTGTCCATCCCTTCAGATCTGTTGTCCAATCTGCCGAGTCCGCAGCCACCTCGCCTGGCAAGAGACCGCTGCCAGACGACCCCACGGCTGCTCTCCACGCGCGCTCAGACGCATCAATGGCGCCCGCATAGTCCCTTCTCCATGTGCGAAGACGAGACAGAAGGGACCATAGCTCGGCGCGGTGCGTGATGAGTGGCACGATCTCTTCTTCTAGGAGACGCGTGACCAGGCGTTCCCTGGATCCTCGCGGTGGCTCGTAGATGCCTGTTCCGGCAGGTTTTTCTTTGGAGATGACTACGTCCTGGAGGAGGGCGGTGAGAACGTCGGCGTCGATGGCGTCTTCGGTCTTGCGGATTCGCAGGATGTGGGTGAAGGCCAGGACCATGTCTGGCACGTCGGAGGGCTGCATTCGAGCAGCGAGCGTGAGGACATTGTCCCAGATTCGCCAGTTGTCGTGGGCAATGGACGCGCCTTTCTTGTAGGCGGCTAGGGATTTGGATAACAAGGTGGCAGGGTCGCGAGACTTGTCTCCTGGATCCTCTAGGACGTCGTCCTCCTCCTCGTCATCTGCGCGAGCAGCGGCTTTGGTTTCATTGTTTGCTGGAACTGTGCCCTTTTTCTCGGCAGTTACTTCGCAGTACAAGCTCCACAAGGCACTTCCCAGATTGCTCCAGGTTCTGGCATCTTCACCGCCAGCCACGTCATTAGCAGTGCCTATAGAGCGGCTGTATGCCTCTGCCGCATCGTCAAATTGTCCCAGGCGAAGGCTAATATCACCAAGGCGGCTCCAGAGGTCGGGGCTTAGTCGATTAACAGAGGTGGCTAGTTTGTAGGCTTCGCGAGCCTTTACCATGTCTTTCTGCGCGAGGTAGTACTCCCCGAGAGACTTTTGGGCCCTAGCATACCGCTGCTTAGAGATGATCCATGCCTGCTCATAGTGCTTGGGATTGTTTTCCAGATCTCCTAGTATGCACCAGAGTCTGGCGGCATTGGGCGGTGGAGGACTTCGTTCGGGGCCCTCGAAGCTGCTTGCCTTGAGATGCATGACGTCTTCAACATCTTGGTCGTCTGGATCAGATGTTGCAGAAGCATCTTCGGCTGTGGGGTGGAACAATCTCCAGCGAACAATAGACTTTGCCTTTTCGTCACCACCACTGCCACGGCCGTCCTCGTCCTCGGAGGCGGCAGCGCTGGCATAACACAGGGCAACTTCCGCCCAAAGCCGCAAGCGCTTGAATATTTCGAGGGCGGAGGTAAGAGAACCCACTCCAGCCCACGCGTAGGCGAGCTCTGATTCAAGATGCCAACGGGGTGGTGTAGACAGGGCATCGATGTACCGGAGACGAACATGAGCGGGAGCCGATTCAGTTGCTTTAGGAGCGGGTAAGAAGGATGTAGGAACTTGGGCCTTGGGTGATGGAACCGCATTTTCGTGGCCAGGGGCGGTGACTTGAATAGCCGGCACGTCGCTCTCATTTGTTGTCCTTTCGTCGGACTCTTTAGTGAGTTCGGTTTCGACATTTGTGTCTGTAAGAACCTGGTCTGCCACAGCTTGCAGTTGCAATACACCACGTTCTACCGTCCTGCTGCGGTGGACTTCAATCCGTGATCGCACGAGCAATGCCTGTGTATAAATTTGCCAGTTGGTGGATTTATCGGCGAGGACTCGAACAGCGTAGGGTAGTATTTCCTGTGACGTTAGAGTATCAACGGGTGAGAAGGCATCTTTCAGAGTTGCCTCTGTGAGAAGTATGATTTGATCAAGGGGGGCAAGCTGGGGTTGATTATCCGGGGATACATCTGCCAAGGAAGGCGGCAATTCCTTCTCCTTGTATCCGTCCTTGTCATGATGGGTTGAAAACTGTATTTCCTCCAAGAGAGTGTCGTCGTTGAGCTTCAGCGCGTCTGGCTTTGCCTTTTCCTCATCACCTCCATCCTCTTCAATGAGATCCTGGTCAGTGCTGCTACGGGCAAGGACAACCAGCTGACTGACACTGTTCTCTTGAAATTTAGTTCGCTTGCCAAGAGCGCCGGACAGGGCGTACTTCAGTCCGGTAAGTTGAGCGGCTTCTTCGAGAGCATCCTTGGCCTTTCCATGGCGTCCAAGGAGGATGTAGTTGTTAGCAGCTTCAACTAAGAAGTAGGCCTTGTCTTCGCGGCCCCATGAACCTGCTTCAGACCACACTTCGTTGCCGGCTATTTGGTCACGGACCGTGTCCATGTCGATCAATATTCTAGAAACCAAGCTGGGGACCTCGCTCCATTGCGAGCTCTTTGTGAAATTAGACCCAGGGCCGAGACTAGGTTGGGTAAGTAGTTTGTAATGCCAGATGTTGATGCGAAGTCTGATCCATGACAGGCTATACTTGACAGAGCGACTTTCTTCATCTTGGAAATAAACGTCCACGGAGGTCATGGTCTCGCTAGCTAGGACCGATTTGAAAACGTATCTAGCCAGAGAGAAGAGCTCAAGGTGAGGAATGTGGCTGTAAGGAGAGACACCATCAACCTCAAGATGAGCCAAGCAGGCTTTATGCAACTGCGTCAGAGCGGCAGACTGGTCTGTATCAGCGGATAACGGCGCAGTCCAAGCCTTGCTGAATCTCGATTGGATCAACGCAAGCCTGTCCGCAGGCACCACGGGCCCGGTTACGTTCGCTTGAAGAAAGATATCAAGAGCAGCCAGGCCCACATACAGACTCTCCCGAGAAGGAATGGCAGAGATATCGACAGTAGATGGCGCGGCGGGCTGTTTTTGCCGTGGCGAACTGGCAACTTCGGCTACATGAGCTTGGATCAAACGAGCTGCTGTTTGGCCCTCGGCCAGGATAGAGAGATTCGTGGCGGCATCGTGATGTGAGGACGAGGCTGACATTTTCCAGGCCGCCGGGTCCGGGCTATGCGCCGCCATATTTCGCCTCCCCCCGTCTTTGTCAAAGTTGAAGGTCTGCCGTCAAATCAGAGTGAGAGCTGTTTATGGGAGGTTTTGGCGATTGAAGGGTCGAGGTTTGCGCGTGGCAGCCGTTTTCTTGCTGATGAAGTAGCTGAAGTGATGGAGGGGAAGAGTTGGTCAAGAAAATTCGACCTCGTTGGAGGCATCGTCAGTCACATGGAGATTTCTACAGTTGTGGCACCAAAGCATTTAACCCGGGGCCTGCTTCGTCTGTTTTTTTTTTCTTTAAAAAAATTAATAAATAATAAATGGTGTCATTTTCTTCAGCACTATACTTTTCTACGGGAATAGTCCGTAGTGTGCTTTTCCTCGCCGTGTTGCTTTCATCCTGCTCGAGTGAGACCAGACATTTTTTACCATGTGCCATAGTGGGGGCGGGGCACAAATTTTTAAATCTTCACTTGCCCCTCCATGTATGTATGTATTAAACCAACCTCGACCCTCACAATTTACAAACCTGTCTCACACCACTGATCACACTAAAATCGACTCTTAGCAATATCGGCCTGAGATGTACATATGTACATACTGGACACTGCCTCGCTTTTAAAGAATGAGGCAAAAAAAAAAGACCAAGCGTTTCCAAAGGTCGCATCCACAATGATCCTGGTGCGCTGTCCTCATCTCTTGAAAGCAGTCACAGCAAATAGAAGAAGAAGAGACTAATAACATTACGGAGTACACAGGCCAAAAGACAGAGAGAGAGAGAGAGAAAGAAAAGAATATCGCTCTGGGGCAAGTTTATTGGATAGACTGAGCGTGATGACAGGGTTCTGCATCCACTGCTTGAGTCGTCCCGCATCAAAACCGTATCGCCCAGAAAATGACTCGGCCCACAGCTCGGTTTAATATGCTTGCTGCCATTGGGGAACGGAAATATTCTTGGCTGAAGCGTTAAAAAATTTTCTCCCCAAAATTGCCTCCCGTTTGTCATTGATCAGTGTGCCTGGCCCCGCAATGTTTTCCTGGCATGGCCTCATGCGTTCATGGGCTGACCATTCATTCGCCAGACATAGTGCCATTCCACCAAAACACCACCGCGCGCGAGTTATCTGTTCGCCCAAACATCCGTCATAAATTGGACGCAACGTAAAGGTGGGCCCGAGAATAGAACCACTGCCATTTTCGTTTCAACTGTATTTCTGCTCTCGTCGCTTGTGGCTTCTTTGTTTGCCAACTAACTTGGTCATAATGCCGTTAAAGACGGACGACCTTGGATAGCGTGGTTTCGTCAGACTCAAATTGCCATTCATCAATCCTCCCTTCTTGTAGGTTTGCTACAGGTTTGGTAATATCCGCTTGCACGAATCTCTGTTGCAAGTTAGTTCTTTCCTCTGGTGAGGCCGAGATGGGCGATTTTCAGAAACTGCACTCCGCGCATCATCACCAAGTACTCGCGCGTTGTACTGTCCATATCTCTGTCGCGAAGCCGTGCCTCCCCGAGAATGCTCAAGGAGTCAAGATGATGCGAGAATTTCAGCCATTGGTGGCTTTTTTAAGCCTAAAGCTTTAGTATGAGAATAGCGTCGAGTAAGGACCACGTTGAGATCCTATGCTAGCCTGCCATGCAAGGTATGTCAACAACACCTCCAGGCACCTGCATGCAGCGCCATGGACGTACTACATATTGTAGTAGATCCCTCAATTCAGCGGGCTCGAAGACATAGCAACCGTGCTTCTACCAAGTATGCATGGTTGCATTCCGTCTACGTGTACCGAGGGCTTCAAACGTTCAAACATGCCCATCATCATGGGATTCACCCTCAACCGTATGTCCAAGTCCTCACCTTGTTCTGTTCTATAAATAAATACATAGTCCATGAGCTATTCGTGTATTGCAGTCGCAGCTGTGACACTGCTAACTCGGATTATGTATGTTCAGCCAGGCCTGCCGCCAAAACACAACAATTTACAAACAACTGGTCTGTCTATTCGTGAAAGCGCCGCCCAACCTCGCGGGCCTCCGTCAAGGCTTGGGTTGAATCCAATGGCTTGCCGGCTCAAGACATTCTAAATGCTCTCTGCTACAGGGTTTTGGAATTCGAGCCTGAGTCGATTCCGTTCAAGCTGGTTCACATCGGACGAGTCCCTTTGCCGAGGCGAGAGTGTTGCTACCGGCCCGGCCGTCGATCGTGGAAAATGGAGCACGGAGTCGGACTCGTGGTGGGAATCAGATGACTATCTAAAGGTAGTATTAGCCCGAAGTGACGCAACCTGGTTTGCCCGCGGGCAGCCGTGCAATCGTGGCCATGCTCAAGTCCAGCGCCTCACGGGGCTCCGCAATGGCGCTACAAAACACCAGCCTGGGCTTGGCGTCCATAACTCTCGCCAGTTTCACTTTCTTCTGCCTAGCAGCAATGACAAGTGGATGTCCCACTCTCAGTACGGAGTACTAGTGTCAAATGCAAGAATGGTGGCGTGGGTCGACAGCAGCCATTCTTCGTCGATTGCCCCGAGCCTTCAGCAAGGCTGTTGTTCCACTCTCTGTCTAGGGATTCAGCAACCTGATGTATGTACCTCATGTTGAATCATACGACTCACCATAGTGCGATAGGCCAGCAAAATTCGTCGCTTCAATAGATTCTAGAGAGAATGCATATCAATTGGCCGGGAGCTCAAGTGTCATAACATCTATCACGACAGATTTTAGATTGATGACTTTTTCTTGGTCGGAACCTCATATCTCTCTCTGGTCGTCGCTTTAAGTATCCGTGGAAGGGTCATGAATTGGCTGACTGGTGTCCCGCCCCCATCCACGTCGCTTGAGAAAGCCAAGAATTGCTTGAAGTTGATAAGAGGATTTGCGACTCACGCGAGCAATCTTTCCCAAACGTAGATCGAAGTGTGTCTCTCAGGTCCTCAAGTGCTAGTATCTAACTTTCGCCTAGGGTCGCCAATCACTGCACAATGTCCATGAGCAAGGGTTATTCCAGTCTTTGTTGGCTGCATGCAAATTGATCCCTGCAGCGGGGGGTTTGTACAGTGCGAATAATTATCCTCGTTGTACTCCGCAACTGCCTGGAGCTGCCGCCAAGACCCGCGTATCTTCTGACGTCATAGTGCAGAGCGTCAGCGGTGGACACTGGACTGCATGCAGTCAAAGATTGAAGAGCCCTGTGAGTGCTGAGCTGGCAACGGTGCCGCTTTTGTGGCCGTCGGTCAAATGGTCATACTGTGGCTGCTGGCCGAAGCCAATTCCGTTTCGCACCAGTTCAAAAATAGTGTCTGAACAAACCATTGACACCAGCTATTGTGTACAAAAGGCGGCTGGTCAACTGGTTGCTTGTTGGCCCGCTAGCACGGACTGCGACATTTATTAGGCGATGGTCAACAACGATGGGTTGTGCCTTCCATTCCTAACCGTTCTAGAGTTATCGAAAAATAAGGTGCTCCGTACGATACGGGGGGTGCACCTGAACTACATCAACAGCCCAACGACATCCATGTACAGCCTCGCAACACTTCAGTTCGCCCAACTTTTACTTGGCCCTTGCTGTTTCGGCGTCCTCACCAGCCTCCACCGCGGACTCCGGAACCCTTCACTTTCAGCCTTCCGAGCCTTGGGTAGCATTGAAATTAGCCTCGGCCGCAGGTGCCTCGATGCGGCTCCGTTTTGCAGATCGCCACACGTTCTTCGGTGTCACCGTTTTGTTTCAAGTGGCCATTTGGCAGCAGCAAATAGTGGCATAGACACTTTGCTGTATTTACCCATTCGCTGAGAACTCTTTCTCTCACCGTTTATTGCGCGTGATAGGGAAAGAAGAAGTCAAGGTAATAAGCATCCCTGTGCATTGGAAGGATGCCCAGAGTGTTTGTCACGCCCCCGCCCCATCACAAGCCTTATGAAACAAGTTCTTCTGGTCGACGAGGGTTCGGTACTAATTGTTGATATTACAGGGTTAGCGGTTGGGCGTAATGTAATACGGTCCTTACCAATCTTGAGCCAAAGACTGTATACGACTTGATGTTCCAAACGACTGATTAGAGCCCAAGTATTGGAGCCATTAGAGCCACAGACGACCTGATGTATTGCATCTATCGGCGTCCTATAATTCAAATGTGATGGTAGGGAATGACGATGGCATGTATGATGACACCACTAGAACAAACGAAAGGGTTCCAAAGACCTTTCAGGGTCCACGTGGGGAAAACCACCTGGGTATGTCCGTCGCAGCGCGAAGCACTATTAGCCATGGTGAAGCATATATAAGCTACCGGTATTCTGCGCCATGACGATCGATCCGTCACTAATGAATAAGGCAGCCCTGGGTAACGCAGCGGGCGGCTCATCCCCTCTCTCCAGAATAACACCCACAGCCGTTCAGTTGGATGTCAGCATGCAGGTGGTCACAGATGTGATCGAAATCAGTACTCGAGTATCGCTATAAACCCTATGAAACGCTTCTCTGGAGATACCAAAGTCACCCGATTTCAGTGACGTATTCTGTTGATGACGAGCAAAATGGAGAGGGCTACTAGGCAGGATCGCCAGCTTCCATGCAGGTATGACCGGAGATCAGATCCCGGCCAGTGTCGGCACCACACAACACTACCTGACGCCCATTTCTGCCATCATACTCCGTATTACACCAAGATTCAGTGTTGCCCTCTAGTGATGCTGCTGGCGGCGAAACAGGACGTCTTCCCTGCCCAAGTTGACCAGTCCCGCCACCATCGTGCTCCAACGGGGGTTGTGGGAGTGGAAGGGATCTCCCAGCACAGAAAGAAGCCAAATACTTGTGATAGACAACCCAATTACGGTGCCAAACTTTGTACATTTGAGGGCGACTGCAGCAATCTTACAGTCTGTCCGATGCATGTACTATGTAATATTCGAGGGCAAACGAGTCTTCACCGTTCTGATCGAACTGGTCAACAGGTCAGATTCAGCCAGTCGGCGCTGTTCAAATTGCCTCCCGGGC